CACAATGTCAAATTCCTTAGCTGTTCTGTGCATTGACATAAAATAATTGAGAACTGTACTGTGCAGAATTAAATCTGTCTTTCTCTGTAACACTTTGCTTTCCTATGGTGCATTCTGCAAGGTCCCAGATCTCCCTCTTGAAGACTTCTGCTAATAGTTTGTCCTCAGGGCTTCCCTTTGACTTAAGCTCTCCAGCCACTGCTGTATTTCAGGCAGAGAAGGCTGACTTTGTGGAACTCTGTTGGGCTATTCATGGCAATGCAGGTTTTTTATAGTGTTTTCAGTGGTATTGACTGCACCCATATGTTCATATTTTCCTGTGTGAAAACCTTTTCTAGAATTGAATAAGAACTTAAGTGAATTACAGGAGAAACAAGTTTTAAAGGACCAGAAATCAAATAAAGATGTTTTCAGTCATTCAGGAAATAAAATAATTAACATCCTATATGTGCTTTCTCAGAAAAGTAATAGAAAATGTTCTTTACAAAATTAGAAAACTAGAAACGACTTGGGATCCAGGAAATAAAGGCTGTACCAGAAAGGCAAGGATAATCTTAATATCCCAAGATGATAATGTAAGAAACTCTGAGAGTGATAGCTGGGCAGCGTCTTGGAGGGCATCCAGTCCAGAATGGAGCAGACCAGAGAGCTTCAGGAGGAGTAGTTCTAAGAAAAAAAGTGAAAAAGATAGTTTAGCTGATGCAATTGTTCATATTGAAAAAGTATTTACAGTTCTGTCAGAGTTCACTATAAATTTATATATGTACTTTTAGCAAGTGAAGTAAAAATGAAAAATACTAACTCTAAGGTAAAAAATTACATAAGAAATTTAGTAGTATGTTAATTTTCTTAATTGAAAAGGTATACTATAAATTTTTTTTTAAGATTTTGTTTGTTTATTTGAGAGTGAGCAAGTGCTTGAGTGAGCATGAGTGGGAAGGAGGGGCAGAGGTAGAGAGAGAAGCAAGCTCCTCGCTGAGCAGGGAGCCCAACATGGGGCTGCATCCCAGGACTCTGGGGTCATGACTTGTGCTGAAGGCAGTCAACCAACTGAACCACCCAGGCACCCCTAAAAACTATTTTTTAATCAGATATAATTTTTAACATGCCTTTTAAAATTATTTTTTTAGATTTATTCATTTATTTTAGAAAGTGTGATTGGGTGGGGAGAAGCTGAGAGAGAAAGGGAGAGAGAATCTTCTTTGGCTTCCCCACTGAGTGCAGAGCCTGATGTGGGGCTTGAGCTCACGACCCTGAGATCATGACCTAAGCCAAAACCAAGAATTGGATTCTCAACAGACTGAGCCACCTTTTAACATGCTTTAAAAAAAAAATTATGAAAATACATAAAATCTACCATCCTAATCTTCTCAAGTACAAAGTGTTAACTATATGCCCAGTGTTGTACAGCAGATCTCTAGAGCTTTTTTATCAAATGTAATTTTAATGAATATGTAATATTTCATTATAAGGGTATACCATAATTTGTTATACAGTCCTACGTTTTTGGACATTCTACTATTTTGTTATGATTTTGAGTTTTGCAGTAGAAATGTTTCTGGTTAAATCTTTGTTCACATCCTTGACTTTTTCTTCAAATTAAATTCTTGAATCAGAGGAGGTACACATTTTCATTAAAGTTTAACCTTAAGTAGATATTTGTTTAGTCATCTTATTTGTCTCAAAAATACACATTTCCTTTTGATCTGTGGTTTAATGTCCAGAAACTTGGAGAGTTTGGTTCAGTTAATCTTCGGTGAGGCCTGGACATCTGTATGTTTCAAAATCTTCATAGTTAGGAACTTTTTTTTTTATATGAGACAGAGTGTAAGCAGAGGCAGTGTGGGGGGCGAGAGAGAGAGAATCCTAAGCAGGCTCCACACCCAGTGCAGAGCCTGACTTGGGGCTCAGTCTCACAGCCCTGAGATCACAACCTGAGCTGAAATCAAGAGTTGAATGCTTAACCAGGTGCCCCAGTTAGGAACTATTTCTAAATATTTAATGGACATAAACAAAAGTACTTGAGGGAAGTGTGTGTGTGTGTGATCTTTGTAGAAGATATTTGGAATGTAGATCATTTAAAATACTTACAAAAAACTTTTTCTTTTTCCCTCAGGAACGAATGATCACACACTTTGAAAGGTCCAAAATGGAGTAAAAAATGAGAACATACGCAGTTGAAGATGGGCAGTATCTGGGAAGAGATCAGCTTCTGTGTCAATCTTCTACACTCCTCCATGGAATTAGAGGAGGCAGTGAAACCTGATCTGTTCCTTGACCTTTGTGCATTGGAGCCGGTGAGAAGTGTCAGAACAAGGAGAACATCTTGCTGAAAACAAGTTCATAGGATGAGAAAAATCTACAAGTGTTTTATTTACAACATTGATGCCCCTTTCCCTTCCACACCCTGACATGGATGTTTATGCAACTTATGTGTGTTGTTCCTGAGCCTTCTATAATGTTTAAATTGTTTAATCTTTCAAACTAAAAAGTTTAACATCTTTTAAAGAACTATGACATCAACACCATAATATGTAATCTCCAGGAGCAACTGCCTATAATTTTTATTTATTTAGGGAGTTACATAGGTGATGGGGGAAATTGTTAATTATCTTTCCGTTTCCTGAGAAGCCAAGGTTACATCTCGCAGAAGTGGTTTGGAGAAAAAGAGTCCTGAGTTAAGGAGCCATGGTTCTGTCAATGATTTAAAACAAAAAGAAGAGTGTACAAAAACTGTTACAGTATGATTCAGATCATTTAAAAAAAATCAAGTGCAATTTTGTTTACAAATGGTGTATATTAAAGATTTTTCTATTTCAGATGTACTTTAGAGAGAAATATTAGCTTAACTCTTGACATCTGCTATTGTGACACATCCCATTGCTGGCAATGTGGTGCACACTCCAGAACTTTTAACTACTGTTTTGTAAGCCTCCAAGGGTGGCAGCATTGCAGAATCCTAGGCAATGCTTTGTTTGCCTTCAATACCATTCACTGGGTGTTGCACTAGATGCAGAGAGGCACTCCATCTCAGTGCTTTTGAGTGAGCCCCCTGCTAAAGGAACTGTAATGCTTAAGCAGGAGCTAATACAAAGGAAACAGGTCCTTCTGGCTTAATTGAAACAGTTTTTCCTGCATGAAGTAGTGTGGAGGCCCTGGACTGCTGCTCATTCTTTAGGATTGACTGTTCTTATACCTGGTGTTGATTTAAAGACTGTTTATAAGAGACATCACAAGGTGATGGGATTCATTTGAAGCACTATATTTCTGTTTTAATGGTTTTGTCCAATTTTGCCTTCCCAAGATTTTTGTTCTACATAGAAAGTTCATGTCACTTTTTAATATAAAAAAGTTTTAACAAAATTAATGTATTTTCCTCATTTTTTTTTCAAACTTGTCCCTATAGACCCTTCTTCCTCTCAAACCCTTGTGGGAATTTTCCTTATGTGGCTTTTGTTCTTCATCATCTTACTATTTGTTGAAACCAGTGATCACATCATGCAATCTTTACTAACTCATACAATAGTGAAAGTGTTTACATTTATTTAATATCTCTCTATAGCTGTTTGCTGTGGTGATTTAAAAAAAAAAGCCACGTAGGCAGTATCTCTAAGGAACAATATGAAGAATTGACTGTTCTCAGGTTAACCTACTAGCAAAAGGCTAGTGATACTATTGTGTGCATCTCTTCTTCCATACTGAAACTAAGCAAGTGAAAAATAGTTAAAATGCAGCAAGATAGTTGGTCAGATATTTTTTGAGGGTGGTTAGATGTTGACTTAAGACTAGAGAAAGAAAATCATACTGTGTATAGTAAATTATATAGACTGGGACCTGATAATTCTTCTTTCTCTTAATGATGTATATCACTGTAATTATAGTGTATCATTTCTCAGAACTGGTTCAGAAGTAATTTACAGTATTACGTTGATCTGTTTAGTTCTTAGTCCTTGGGCCTGACACTACTAGGCATTAGGCCTTCTTCCAGAACAGCAGCTGGCAATTCTAAATTTGTAAGGTGTTCGTTTTCTGTGGTGAAAGTCGGCCACAACACTTGATTTATTTAGCAATTTTTGTGTATTAACACCTTGAAAATATTTCACTAGATTATCAGATACAGCTTTTGGTAAAAGAGGGACAATGATACTAATTTACAGGTGAGGAACTGATGTATAAAAATGTAGTGAAGGGAAAAGAGAGTAAATAAAGTGACCAAGGCCAGTTTTTTTTTTTTTTTTTTTTTTTTTTTACTTCTTACCATAGACTCACCCTTTTTTTCATTTACATTTTTTAGACCCAAATACTTATTACTCTTATGACCTACCTCCTCTGTTTCCTGCTGGAGCAGGGTGGGGTTGCCAGATTCACTTCATGATTGCAGTAGTTTTCAAACTTCAAAGTGCATGGACTCACTTTAGGGACTTACTAAAAAGCACCGACTGCTGAATCCCCCTACTCTAGATTTTCTTATTGAGTAGGGAAAGAATGAGGCCTGAGACTGCATTTCCAGCAAGTTCCCAGGTGATGTTGATGCTACTGGTGTAAAACACTGGCCTAGGACAACCTTTTAAAAACTGGTTGGGATTATAATGGTAATGCAAAAACCACCATTTACTAGGTGTTCAGAGGGGGTCAAGAATTGCTAGGCGCCCACGACGCTATGTTAGTGCAAAGCACTACCATCCTTTTGCGGATAAGAAAATAAAGCCTCTGGAGATGATTAAACGTCACGGCTAGTTTCCTAAATAGGAAGGAGATCTCCATCCCGGCTAACAAGCCAAAGCTCGAATTCACCACCATGCTACATTACTTGAGACAGTTTTAAGTTAGTTTTTCCCTTTTTATTAAACCCCAACGCTAGTCGGGCTCCATGACAAAGAAGCGCCAAGTCCCAAATAAGGCGGGGACCCAAACGCCGGCGCATTCCTCGAATGCGCGTTAGAAGCTAGGGCGGAAGGGGCGGGGCTTTCTGCGGAAGGGGCGGGCTTAGCCCCGCAGGAAGTCCTGTGTTGATGGCTGTGGAGCGGTAGGCCTGTGGCTGGGGTGCCGCTTCGGCGTCGCGGTTGACCCCCTCTCATTGGGCTGGTTCCCGGCCGAGGACCCGGCCCGGCCCACTCCGGGTGAAACTGCTGCGGTGACCCTGCTCGCCGCCATGCACGACGCCTTCGAGCCAGTGCCGATCCTAGAAAAGCTGCCTCTGCAGATCGACTGTCTGGCTGCCTGGGGTGAGCTGAGGGCCCAAGGGGCCGAGGCAGGGTCAGCGCAGGAGCGGTTCCGACCTTTCACAAAGTAGGAAAGTGGACAGGCGTCTGGCTGTATGAACTCCGGTCGGACGCTGTCGGAGAGGGGCCTGGGATGAGGAAGGGCGTAGTATTGTAGACAGTGAACGCTGTTTGGGTAATCCTCAGGGACCCGGCCGTTTTAGGTTCGTTTACTCTTGTTTTCGGTACCGAGTTGAAGGTTGAGCTTTTCTTGTTAACGGTGCTCAGCTTTGGCTCCTTTCGATTCCCAATAAGTCTTCAGTTTGGGAGGGGCAAACAGTGGGGAGTTTTCAACTTGTCCAGATGATTCTGTTGTTTTCTACGAGAAAGACAACACTATTTTGGGAGGCACTAAATGCTTAGCATCATATGCCTTTTTCCCCTCGGTGATCATTCATCGTTCGCTTCTCATTACTGTAGGTAACTCGTATTGTTTTAAATTCAATCCAGGCGAGTAGTCGATTGCCTTATATTCAAAGTGCCCAAGTTACCTAACTGTGTAGGTAGAAGAGCATCAGTCCAGGCTGTCATGAAATCTAACCTATTAAAAACTTGTGTAATCCTTCTGCAGTTGGCCAGTATAGAAAGCAGGGTCCGGCATCTCTTGTATGCTCTAGAATACAAGTGGTTTCAGGGGGCTAAACCTTGACTCTTAATTATGAACATTATACTTGTAGAGTGGTTGTGTCTGATAACAGTCATCAAAGACCAAACAAATAATTTCAGTCTTTCTTGTTACTGTCCAGGTCCTAGAAATCAAGGGCCACACAAAGGTGACTCAGAACTCTTAATCAGGTCTTATACTGAGCCAGGGACCCAAGAGAGGCCTGGTGGAAATCATGGTGGTGGCTAGCATCTTCTGCATCATTTATGGACAGTGCCACCCAGTCAGTCTTGCAGAGTTTCTCACAGCCTCTTCAGTAGGGTGCTTTCACTACAGGTCTTCAGGTTAATGTGCACAGTCTTTGCCTCTAGCAGCCCTGGGTTCCTTTAAAATCCCACCTCCACAGTAAGCTGTCCTAGTCCCTTGAGTGAGGGAAAGAATCTTGCTTCCTCCCGATATCTCCAAAAAAATCCTCTCTATTTTCTGTTGTTAAATGCTCAACAAAAATTAAAAATAGAGGAAAAAATTTTTAAAAATGAAAGACTTGACACTGCTACAAAGGGACACACATTCCTCTAACTCCTCATCAGATATGCACCAAATGCACATGTGGACCGGTTTCTCTGCTAAAGAGAAGGATAAAAATAAGAAGCAGTGGCTGTGCTCCTAGGACACACAGTGAGGGACAAAGTGACAGGAACAGATAATGATACAAGATAATTGATACAGGAAGCATATGCTGCCTGTTATAGAAACAGGGAGGAGGGGTACCCAGCTCAGCCTAGAACATATGCTTCTGAAAAGGATGAATGCAGCTGCCTACCGTGCTTTACTTAGCTTGCCAGAGTCCTTGGCTGATGCCTTAGGGAATGAGTAGTACATGTATCTCAGCCTTTCACTAATCTACTTTGTCACAGTAAAGATTCCTTGTACTTGAACTTTTCAGAAAGATAATTTTGAAATGTTGCGTAGTTTTTTGTCTACCATGATCCCCCACCTTACAGGGGAAATGCTCATTACCTTTTAGGGTGCCATGGTAGGTATTGGGCTACAGGAGGCTACTTAACCACCTCTTGACTCAAAACTGTTTTCACATTTAAGAAGCAGTGAGTATTACTCTATCTAGTCGTTACCCCCTTTACCAAAAATTCATCCAGGAACCTCCAGAAGCCAGATCATGCAGGGCCAGACAATAATCGAGAGACACCATAATCCATCCCTTAGGAAATGGAAATGAGGATATTGATGATGATGACTTCTCCCTAAACTCCAGGGTTGTAGAATCCAGCTGCCTTTTCAGCACCTTCATATGGATGTCTAATAGCATGGCCATAATGGTTCTTGATTTCACTCTCCCAAAACATGCTTGTCCCCCTGTACCCCACATCTCAGCAAATGACATTTCTGTTTACCCATTTTGCTAATGATTTTGGAGTCGTTTTTCACTTCTGTATGCCACTTCCAATCCATCTGCAAATTTTATCTGCTCCACCTCCAGAATAAGTCTCGAATCCAATCACTTCTCTCCATCTGCACTATTTCTGTTCTGTTGAAAGCACCACCTCTCTCATCTGAATTACTGTAGTAGTCTTCTGAGTGATCACCCTGTGTTTTTCATTGTACCACTTTCAGTCTTTTTTTTTTTTTAAAGATTTTATTTATTTATTCATGAGATACACACACACAGAGGCAGAGACATAGGCAGAGGGAGAAGCAGGCTCCATACAGGGAGCCCGATTTGGGACTTGATCCTGGGACTCAGGATCACGCCCTGAGCCGAAGGCAGACTCTTAACCATTGAGCCACCCAGGCTTCCACACTTTCCATCTTTTATCCACAGAGGTAGAGTGAGCCCTTGAAAACTTAATCTCATCACATCTCTCTTCTCAGAATCCTTCAATAGCTTCCTGTCACAACTGGAATAAGTTCCAGAGTCCTTATTCTGCTTTCTACATCTGACATCATCAGGCCTCTGGTTACTTCCCCTCACTTACCCCATCTGCGCTCCCCATCCGTTCTACTAGTCACACAGTCTTCTTATTTCCATAACACACAAAACACATACCTACCTTAGGGCTTCTGCACTTGTTCTTTTCCTCCTCCTGGCACTCTCTTGCCCTAAATGGCTCATTCCTCATTTCCTTCAGGTCTCTGCTGAAATGTCACATAAATCAGCAAGACCTTCCCTAACTATGCTATATGAAAGACAATATGCTATTCTCTTATTCAGCCTTATCTTTCTTATCATAGCTTGCTACCTAATGCTATTTTATGTTATATTATTGTCTCTCCATATTAGAATATGATTTCCTTCAGAGCAGGAACTTTGTTTTATACATTGCTTTATTTGTAGTTCCTAGAATAGTTCCTTGTAATGGTATTCATTAAATCTTTTTGTTTAACGGATAAGTGAATAATGATATTAATAGTAATAGCTTCTGCTTATTGAATACTAATCTTTATTCAACTTTTATGAAATAATAACTCCATTTTGCAGAGGAATAACCTGAGAATTTTTCCAAGGTCATGTATCCAGTAAATAATGTCTGATTCTGGCCTCTGCTTCCTAAACTTTAATATATATTCAGAGCCTATAAAAAAAAAAAATGCTGACATGTGTAATGTATGTGTATCTGTATGTGTGTTTACACAATCATTCTTCTAGTTTCCAAAGAAACAATAGAAAGAAAAAGGACTTAGATGGTTGCTTATAGGAGAGGGAGATAACAGGGAGAGTGGACAAGGGTGGAAGCTACACTTACCACAGTTTTAGCATTAAAACTACATATCTGCATCATATAACTTAAAAAATTGAATTAAAAAAATACCGATTTTCACCACTGCTGAATTATTGTGTCAGAATCTGGGAACAGGGGACGCCTGGGTGGCTCAGCAGTTGAGCATCTGCCTTCAGCTCGGGGTGCGATCCTGAGGTCCTGGGATCGAGTCCCACATCAGGCTTCCTGTAAGGAGCCTGCATCTTCCTCAGCCTATCTCTCTACCTCTCTGTGTGTCTCATGAATGAATGAATGAATGAATGAATAAATAAATAAATAAAATCTTTAAAAAAAAAGAATCTGGGAACAGCACTCGGGAATGTGCATTTTTAATAAGTTCAGGTGATTCTGATGCAGCTAATCAGGCTGGTGCTTTAAGAAACACTATTCTTTGTCCTATGACTCCAAAAAAGGGGAAGTGACCACTACCTTTTTCATTTCTGCAGTGGCCAGTGTTGGGCCAGGAATGGAATGGTTTATCACATGAGCTTGGGCTGAGTTGCACTGTTGGACAGAGCTTCATTAGGGTAATTAGGAGATGATGGCCCAGCACTTAACTCACTTCCCAGGAGAAATAAAGTCCAACCTTGTGGCTCAGGATGAAGCTATCAGGAGTTTTCTAGGGCTGGTTCACATTTGTTTACGTGTGTGTTACCCACAGACTATACCATTTATGTAGTGGTACCGTTTATGTACCACTTTCTGGTTTGCTGTACTGGATCCCAGAAGAGACTGTCTACCCTATTCTGTGCCTGCTCTGCAAGCTTCTCATTCTCTGTTTTGCATCCACGATTTGTATTATATGATGGTGTGCCATAAAATGTGGAGGCCCAGCATGGGGCAGGTCCTCTGGTCACCTGAGCCCCCACTGACTTCTCTTAACCAAATCAAGCCTCCTCAGGGGTTCTGTGCCATTAGTGCATCTAGATGATGTACTATTTTCCCTTAATGAGTGTGAGCATTAGGAATGTGTGTGTGGTACTTTTACTGTTTAAAGAAAGTTGTTACAGTACTTTGCATGTATGATCAGTGCATTTTTTTCTCAGCACCTTCAAATTAAAATGTGAAAAGGCTTAAATTAATAAACTTCAATTAAATTTTTTATTTTAATGTATTTGTCTCATTCTCAATTTTATGACTAATAGACGTTTGATAACAAACATCTGTTGGCAAGTAAACATCTCGATTAAAATGAAGAGTAGACCCCTGAATGTCATGCTTATAAGTTTGACTTCGTATTTTGGTAGTGCAGCTTCATGAGGATTTAAGCCCCATTGTGACAGTATCACAGATTTGCTCTCAGGTAACCTGCAGCAAACATGGAAGGACACATAGTGAAACCAGTTGGGGCCATCACTAGGGTCCCTGGGGAGATTGGGATATGCTGTTGCGAGGTGCCTTGTAGAGGTAAAATTGATAGGTCTTACAGACCCGAGTGTAAGATGAAGCTGTTAGGTAAAAACAGGAGCTGTTAGGGATTTGGGGAGCAGAGTAGGGAGAGAAGGAGGGGGAAGATGGTGAATAATTTTTTGGTTTTTTGGTTATAGATTTTTAGGTATGCTATAAGTGAGTTAAAAATTTTCCACTTCATTTTATTTATATCTGAAGTAGCAGTGAGTGTCCTAAAAATCAACTTGAGTCTTATCAATTGCTCAATACAGTGATATCTAGAAGTAGAATTCTAAGCACAATATCTTTTACAGAGCAAGCATCATCAACTTGTTTCTTTTGTCTTCTATGTTCTCCAACATAAATCTCCAGCATTCCTTGAGAGCTAGTTTTATTTCTGATTTCTCTTACGTCATTAAGAGCATGCATTGTCTTACTCTCTGTGTCCTGCCTTGGTTTTAAAACAGAAAGGAAGTCAGACTCATTACATTTTTCTGGAAGACTGGGTACATCAACCTGGAGAAGTGTTCCTGATGTGACCTCTGACCTGTTTTTATAAATATAACCAGTGCCTTTCAGACCACCTCTGGCCAACACCCATTCTTTTGATGTAGGATACCTTAGTCATTGCATCACAGCTTGTGGTTACATCCTGATGCTTCTACACACATCTTCCTATATGTATGTCTCTGGACAAATTATGCCCTAGGCCTCAACTTCCTCATCTATAAAATGGAGATTTATAAGAAGAACATACCTCAAATGATAGTCATGAGGATTAATGAAGTAACACATGATATGTGCTTAGCATGTCCTGGAACACATTGCATGCTCAATAAAGTTTTATCTATTTGTACCATTATCCAGTATTTTATCTTGCACAGGATCAAGAGAGTTTATGAAAGAAATGAATGACCTTTCACAGTATCAAAAAGATGAGGAAGTACCTGTACATGCGTAACTTCTCTTAATAAGTTAGTATAGATCTGTCAGGGTAATTATTTAAACGCTTTTTGGAGCCTCTTTTAATATAGACGAATGTCTCTCAGAATACAGTCCTTGAACCAACAGCATTAGCATCACCTGAGAACTTGTTAGAAATGGAAATTTTCAGGCTATTGCAAGACCCACTGAATCAGAAACTGAGGGCAAGGCCCACCAATCTGTTTTTTTTTTAATAAATTAATTTTTATTGGTGTTCAATTTACCAACATACAGAATAACACCCAGTATTCATCCCGTCAAGTGTCCCCCTCCGTGCCCGTCACCCATTCACCCCCACCCCCCGCCCTCCTCTCCTTCCACCACCCCTAGTTCATTTCCCAGAGTTAGAAGTCTTTATGTTCTGTCTCCCTTTCTGATATTTCCCACACATTTCTTCTCCCTTCCCTTATATTCCCCTTCACTATTATTCATATTCCCCAAATGAATGAGAACATACACTGTTTGTCCTTCTCCGATTGACTTACTTCACTCAGCATAATACCCTCCAGTTCCATCCACGTTGAAGCAAATGCCACCAATCTGTTTTAACAAATCCTCAAATAATTCTGATATATACCAAAGAGTCACTAGCCTAGACCATCTTTTTTCTTTCTTTCTTTTCTTTTTTTTAAGATTTTATTTATTTATTCATGAGAGACACACACACAGAGAGAGGCTGAGACACAGGCAGAGGAAGAAGCAGGTCCATGCAGTGAGCCTGACATGGGACTTGATCCCGGGTCTCCAGGATCACACCCTGGGCCGAAGGTGGCACTAAACCCCTGAGCCACCCGGGGGTCCCCTCTTTTTTCTTTTTTAAATAAGAGCTTTACTGAGATGTAATTCACATACCTTACAATTTCCTCATTTTAAGTGTACAGTTAAGTGTTTTTCAGTACATTCACAGAGTTGTGCAGGTATTGCCACAGTCAATTTTAGAACATTTTCATCACCCTAAAAAAAAAAAAAAACCATATCCATTAGTATGTACTCCCCATTTTCCTGTCTGATCTTTTTGTCTCTACAGATTTGGCAGTTCTGACATTTTATATAAATAGAAGCATAAAATAAGTAGCTTTTTTTCATCCAGCTTCATTAGCATAATGTCAGATTCGTCCCTATTTTAGCATGCATCAGCATTTCATTCCTTTTAATAGTCGGCTACTATTCCATTTGTATGGCTTTGCCACATTTTGTTTATCCATTCATCAGTGGATGGATATTTGGGTTGTTTCTACCTTTTGGCTGTTACAGATGCTGCTGCTCTGAACATTTGTGTATAAGTTTTTGTGTGGACGTATGTTTTCATGTGTCTTATGTATATGCCCAAGGGTAGAATTGCTGAGTCATATGACAACTGTATGTATAATCTTTTGATGAACTGCCAGACCATTTTCCAGAGTGGCCACACCATTTTTATTATATCCCTGCCAACAATGTGTGAGGGTTCCAATTTCTTCACATCTTCGTCAACACTTAATTTTATCTGCTAGACCATCCTTTAAGATACTGAATTCTGTGAACTTAATATGCCATGACACTTATTTTCCCTAAAGTAAAATCATAAAACCTTTAAATGATGCCATTTAGCCTTGTTTCTGATAGTTACCTAGTTTCCTGTTTATACTATCCATTTTATGATTTTATATATTTTTATCCTATTTTTGGTCATTTTAATTTTGAAACACTGAAGGCAGGAACATTTATTATTCTCTAATATGTCTAGTAATACTTTTTTTGATTGGCTGGTTCTCAAACACTTTTTTAAAAAAGATTTTATTTATTTATTCATGACAGACACAGAGAGAGAGAGGCAGAGACACAGGCAGAGGGAGAAGCAGGCTCCATGCTGGGAGCCTGATGTGGGACTCGATCCCGGGTCTCCAGGATCACGCCCCGGGCTGAAGGCAGCACCAAACTGCTGGGCCACCGGGGCTGCCCTCAAACACTTTATGAATATAAATATTCCTTAGCTTTGCAGAACAGCTGCTATCAAAAACAATTCATTTTCTTGACCCTTTGATTTCTGATTATAAGCCCCAGCTCAAGAAATAGGGTTTTACTAAAGCTGATTGACCTTTCTCACCGCTATTTTCTCTTCTAGAAGAATGGCTTCTTGTTGGCACCAAACAAGGACATCTTCTTCTCTATAGGATCCGAAAGGATGCTGGTAAGTGGCAGCTCTCCAGCATCAAGAAAGAGGTGACTTACTACTCATGCAAAAAATTTTGATAGTCAGCTAGTATACAGCTATGAAATCAGTGATTCCTGGACCATTAAAGATAACTGGGGTTGAGACAGTATGTTGGGAAAGTGGGGAGAAGCATGAGAAAAGTCTCTAGGGTTTTTTTTTTCAGACTCTGTTCCCCTACCCTGATCTCATCAGTGGGGTTGAATGTTCCTCCCCTCCTCACTTCTTGGAGACTGTCAGAAATAGGAAATATCACTAATGGGAATAAGGGTTTTTTTGTGAATGATGTGGTAGTAGGAAACAAAGTTAGGAACTATTGATTTAAAAACCTTTCTTAACTTGTGAGGGGTGGACTAGGAGAGAGGAGGTCTGGGTTTGAGCCCAGGTTTCTCCTTGGCCAAATGACTGAGTAGGTCCTTTCCAATGTCATTTTCCTCTTCTATAAACTGTCTCACAAAATTGTTGGGGTCAAATGCAAGGACTTTGAAAAGTAAAGCTCCAATCAAATGTGACTTTATCAGTGATAAATGTGGAATAATAGGGGCACCTGGGTGGCTCAGTCAGTTAAGCTTCCACCTTTAGCTTAGGTCATGAACTCAAGGTCCTGGGGTCTTGCCCTGGGTCGGGGTCCCTGCTCAGTGGAAAGCCTACTCCTCCTTCTCCACCTGCTCCTCCTCTTGCTCACTTCTTCTCTCAAATAAATAAATAACCTTAAATAAAATTTTTAAAATGTAGAATAATAACTAAAGTGTTTGAAATTTATTTTGCTAGGGTTTCCTCTTTGGGGAGAGAAAAAGCACCTCACTCTCTTTTCCTCATTTTATTTCTTTGTTCTCTTCATGGAAAATTGATGTGTTTGGATAATGTACGTTGGAGCTACAGAGTCTGTAGAAATCTGCTGTTAATACCAGAATGTGTTGAACCATATGAAATTGTCATTATTTGACTATATTAGAAAAAAAATTTCATAACTTTCAACTGTAGTAAATAGCTTAAGGTTAGAATGGAAATAGATACTTTGTTTTGGAACCTGGAGAAAGGGTAACATGGGAAAAAGGGGTGTTTTTCTAGGGTGTATGGGGGGGAATTTTCTTCTACCTATTTTAGGTTCATTGGGTGGGAACATATAAACTGGACAAAAGACAGATTAACAGGAGAAAAATGTATTAACATGTGTATTATACATACACATGGGAGCATTCAGTGATGGGTAGCTCAAAGGGGTGGTTGGAATTTGGGCTTATCTTAACAACAAATGAACAACAAATTTTTAGAGAAGTGATAAGACAAAGGAAAAGGACCCTGAGTTTCTAGGATGGCAAATTGTTAGAAGGCAGACACATGGGGGAACTAATGTAATAATGATGAGTAAGTAAAGTTTGTTATTAGATTGGTCTAGTGTCCTTTCTGGGCTAATGAAATCTAGAGCTATCTCCACTGATTAAATTCTGTCCTTGGTAGAGAGGGGAGGAGGGACACCTTTGTAAATGTATATTCTGTTTTTAGGCAAATTGAAGGGAAGGAGAGAGCCTTTTTTTATCTGCTTCTTCTCAGTTGCCTTCAGCTCAAACTGTTTTTTCATGGACATGTATTGACATTTGCACTGATGGTACAGAAGTGATAGTACTAGAACTGGTCCTTAGCATAAGTTCAGGATAGTGGTTAATGAGCTTATTGGTACATAACTGTTCTAGTAGTCGATGTGTTGTTCTCTATAGAGCACGCACTCACTGTGGTTTCTGGTATTTTAAGCCAAGTTTCACTTAAGAATGTTCTTTGTGAGGCAGTAAAAATTATTTTATTATATCTAATCTTTGACAACACATCTTTTTAATAATCTCTGATGTAGTAAGAAGTACTGTGTGCCTGGGTATGAAGCACAGTGGCTGGCTCGAGAAAAAGTACTTGTTTGAGTTACAAGCAGAACTGGCCACTTTTTTTTTGTGGGACATCATTTTTGCTTAAAATAATGACAGATTATGGTTTTTCAGACCATTTGGGTGTTTGGTACATGTTTTCTTAAAACGAACAAAGGAGTCTGTCATTTCAAAGAAAACAACTGGAAGTATATGCTGCTAAAAGTAAGGCTGGGGCTTTCCATAGAAAATTAGAATTGTGGAAAAATTATATCCACCTCTATGAGCTCGACAGCTTCTCGATACTTTTCTGATGACATTGGAGGTGATAACGAGTATGATTTTACATTTATATATGTCCTATAACAAAATGTGCCAACATCTGGAGAATCTGTATAACTCAGTGAACAGTATTTTCCAGTGCTTGAAGTTTCTAAATCATGCATGAGTAAAAGATCCATTTCAAAGATCTAAATCATGCATGAGTAAAAGATCCACTTAGTACTGTACTTAAAGTACAAGAGGTGTCTGGGTGGTTTAGTTAGTTAAGTGTCTGACTCTTGATTTCAGCTCAGATCTTGATCTCAGGGTCACGAGTTCAAGCCCCATATTGGGCTCCATGTTGGGCTCTATGCTGGGTGTGGAGCCTACTGAAAATTTTTAAAATAATAAATAAATAAAGTGTAAGACTAATTGACTTTAATTTGACAGAAAGTTTCATTAATAGGTTCAGATTCCACATTGCAAGAAACTCTATTTGTCAAGTTTTGGTATAGTATCAAAGATGATGTACAGTTATCTGAAAAAGCTTTAAAAATATTCCTCTGGGGATCCCTGGGTGGCGCAGCGGTTTGGCGCCTGCCTTTGGCCCAGGGCGTGATCCTGGAGACCCAGGATCGAATCCCACATCGGGCTCCCGGTGCATGGAGCCTGCTTCTCCCTCTGCCTATGTCTCTGCGCCTCTCTCTCTCTCTCTCTCTCTCTCTCTCTCTCTCTCTCTCTATCATAAATAAATAAAAATTTAAAAAATATTCCTCTGGAAAAAATAAAAATAAAAAAAATATTCCTCCGTATTCCAACTATATGTCCACATGAGGGCAGATTTTTGTCCTATCCTTCAATCAAAACTATCAAAATATTGAGTGCAGAAGCAGATGTGAGAGTTCATCATGTTTGCTTCTGGACTGTCTCTCACTGGCTGCTACCTGCTTGACCTGTCAGGTCCCTCAAGTATGAAATTGGAATAATTATATGTACTTCTTGGTGGTAGTTGTAAGGTTATAGAAAATATGTGTAAATTTTTAAACCCAGAACCTAGCACCTAGTTATGACATAGTTTGTGATAGCTGCTGTAATTATTATGATAATTATTCTCTTTTGACTCTTTGGTAACCTTTGAGACAGAATGTTTTTGTCATCCCCACAAGGCTGGCATCACTATTTTTATGGTATGTAATTTCTTCCCTTTTTGTAGCAGTGTTAACAGGTGTAGCATCTCCTGAAAGCGGCAGTAAGTGTAGATGCATTAAATTGCTTTAGTGTTGAGTGTTTGCTCTGTCCCCATGATGCAGGACATATGGTAGCTGCTGGGATTTAGCTGGTCTAGATCTAAGGATGCTTCGGGCTGGGTTTCATTGCTTGGGCTCTTTTATTTGACTGTAACTTTTTACAAACACTTAGCCAAAGTACTATTTTGTAGGATGAGACCTTCAGACTCACAGGTACCTTGCAGCTTCAGTATTCACTGTGGTGTGATTTTTTTCTGCTAGGTGTATGAAACACCTTGTTCTAAACTTGGAGTTGAAAGCAACTTCCTGCACTCAGTAAAGACAGCTATCCAGTGTAGGTCTCTGGCTTCCAGTCTTTCAGGAATTTTTAGATTCATGTAGGAGAGCAGTGTAGAGCAGCATTTTTTGTTGTGGTTATTTTTACACATATCCTTTTGTTTGAAACTGTGCATGTTTGTTTCTTTTCTATAGGTTGCAACAGGTTTGAAGTGACACTAGAGAAATCCAATAAAAACTTCTCCAAAAAGATTCAGCAGGTAGGCAGTGATGGTCGCTACAAGAATATTTGACTTCTGTGAGACCCTATCAAAACTAGAACTTCAATGACATTATTTATTAATTCTGAATTTTCTGCTGTTCTCCCATTTATGCAGGGATCTTAGTCCATCCATCATGTGCCTGAGATCCCCTAGAATGAGCAGAAATTGAGATTGCACATACATAAAAGTCAGATCCCTACCATTGGCATAGACTCTTTAGTCCCTTTTTTTAGTACTGTACTTAAATGAACATTTGTTAAGCCTTGTCAGAAATGTTAATTGAGTCTAATGATTTGTTCTTTTCTAGATCCATGTGGTTTCCCAGTTTAAGATTCTGGTCAGCTTGTTAGGTAAGAAAACGGGTTGCAGTTGTATTTCTTCTGGTGAAAAATAAAAGCTATGACCTGATAACTCTTTCATGGTTAAATTGATAGACCTTGAAACTTGTTCTAAACCAGACACAGCATGGTACACGAGTATTAAGGGCAACAGCATCCCTCATAAATTTGAGCTCTGTTCTCCAAGGAATGTAATTCATTCATTCAGTCATTGAGCAGATATTTACTGACTCCTCCAGGCATTAGGGATACCAAGTTGAATGAGGACTTCTGTCTTTGAGATTGGTGTTCTGATTGTGAAGACTGAAATGACAGAAAGTAATCATGATACAGTGTGATAAGTTACAATGGCAATTTATAAAAAATGTGTGGATCTTAGTAATGGGAGGGACAACATTATCTAGGGATTATGACAGGAAGGGAAAGGAAGGCAGAGCATTTTAGGCAGAGGTCCTGGGATCTGGCCAGACTTAGGATGTCTGGTAGAGAGTGGCAGAGTGGCAACAGATAGGGGAGAGAAAGATCAAGGCCAGACTATTCAGGCCCTGTTTGAAAAGCCAGTGAAGGTAGCCAGTGAGGCCTTTTCTTAACAGAAGACTAGAAACTTGCCTCTTGCTTTGTACTGGTCAGCCCAGAGCCCAAATGGTAGAATCATTTTAAACTGAGTTTCGAGGAGGAAAGAAAAACTCTTAAAGTAACTAAATCTTCATGAGTAAAACTAGATAGGAGACCTGAGTGAAATTATTTTGCTTGCTTTGCTAAAAAATAAATCCTTGCCATGGGATTGTACCAAATCCACAGAGGATTTCCTTTCTTTTACTGATGCTTGTTAATAGAAGGAGCTTTGAAAGCCAGTTCTTATACAAATATTGCATCATAAATTTCCAGACTTGAGAAAGACAGAGTGTAAGAGTGCTTGGGTTGTGAAAGAGCTCTTCTACATAAACCAGTCCAAATGTAAAGGAACAGAAGTGACCTCTTAAACATTTGGTAATGTGATTCTGAGAACAGACCAGAATAAATCATTGTTAATGAAACTGCAGATACATCTTCAACCAACATTTGCCCTTTGGTTCTTCTGATTGTTGGTTATTTTTTTGTGTGTAGAGAATTGTGCTAATTTATACTGTTGTTGTACCTCCTTCCAAACAGAAAATAACATTTATGTCCATGACCTATTGACCTTTCAACAAATCACCACAGTTTCAAAGGCAAAGGGAGCATCACTATTCACATGTGACCTCCAAGTAAGTATAGGCAAGGTGAAGTTAGACTTCATGTTTTAATAAATATGGTCTTTCTTATATTATTCCTACCATTAGATGGGAAGAATAACATTGATATCCAAACCCAGCAGAGACTCCAAAGAAAGTGTTTGATTTTGGATTGTATTAGAGAAATGTCTCCCTTTGTATGTGGTCTGAAGGGGAAAGATTTGCGTTCCTTGTGTGTGTACTAATTAGAGAACCAGACATCTGTATGGCGAGAGGCAACTAACACACAGTAAAAGCCCTTGCCATGGACAAATCATCAGTTGGAAAAACCAGGCTTAACCAGTATCACAAACATAGCTGTAGGACATTAAGTTGACCTTGTTCTGAACATATTATTGTATTCTTTGTCTATTGGGTGTTTTTTGTTTTTTGGGAAAGACATTTCTCATTTTTGCCAATTCATCATCCTTACATTATTCAAAATCTGCCTTACCCTTCTACTCAGCTTTGATCACTTTTTAGCATCCGTGATCTACATTGATGCTGCACTGTTTTATGCTTAGACATTTTTCTCCTCTCTCCTTAAGGGATTGAAAGTGAGCACTGACACATGCTGATCCCTGACCAGCATGTATTGACAGCCATGAGTGAGAAACATTTAAGAACAAAAGGAGTAAGCAGTCACATAAGTGAAGGCCTGCCCTGGGATTTTCCTGTGTGAATTATGAATGTCCAGGAGATTTATAGGGGTTGGGGCTTTGACTAGCAGCCCTTGGGGAGGAAGTGCTCTTCCGTACATCTTAGAAAACTGGCATTCTTCCACTCAGTTTGTGTGGCAGTGTGATTTTGTATTACAGGGGATTTTCAGATTAGTAGTCATTTCAAGGTAGAAAATCTCTAATTAATTTAGCTGTCACTCAGTTATGGAGTCATTGTATATACATCTCATTTTCTCTGGGTATCTCTTCCTAGCACACAGAGACTGGTGAGGAGGTATTGCGGATGTGTGTGGCCGTGAAAAAGAAGCTGCAGCTCTATTTCTGGAAGGATAGGGAATTTCATGAATTGCAGGTAAAGTCCATGTTACCTGGTCCATGTTGACTCCCACCTTGAAAGACTTCCTGTTCAGTAATACTGAAGGTCAGGACCTCTGACCTGGAGCTCTCTCCAGATGAAGGCTCTGCCACGGGTACATGAGAGCCTATTCATGGCCACTCATCAGAGTTTCCTAGTCTTCGGAGGCAGGGGAGATACAGTTCTGTAACGTTAAATGGATTGGTTTATTTCAAAGTGGATATCTAATACAATCCAGTTCATGGGTGGCTTAAATTTTTGATAGGTGGTTCCCTACCTGTATGCTTGTAGGCTTGTTTTTAGATAGGGGTGAGGGTGATTTTGCAGCATGGGGGTAGAATGACAGGAAAATCATGTTGTTGTTGTTGTTTTCCTGTTAACATCTTTCCATTTGAACTCTTGCTCTCTTTCTTCAGGGGGACTTTAGTGTACCAGATGTGCCCAAGTCTATGGCATGGTGTGAAAACTCTATCTGTGTGGGTTTCAAGAGAGACTACTACCTAATAAGGGTAAAACTTACTATTTTGCATATATCATAGGTTTACCTCGGGATGATGGTCACATGATCATCTGAATTACAGGTCAAGAGTGCCTTAAGTAGCGTTTTGGCATAACAGGGTTTGTGTTTGTATGTTTGGTTATTTTTTATGCTTCTCAGAATCTCTACAAATAGATGTCTGATGCCCAGCAGCATCAACTCTCAATTCTCTACATAACTAATTATCCATATCATGTATCTAATTATTGGAACAGATAGTTAGGGCTGCCATCTTAAGGCTTCAGTGCTCAGGAATTATAAACTAATTTTCGTATTAACTTAAGTATTTTTAAGACTGAGTTTTCTGTATGCCAAAAGCTTTTACTATATTTATTTTAAAAGTTATTTTTATTTTTTTTTAATTTCAAAAGCCACATGTGTTAATATTAAAAAATAAGGAAATAAAGACAAGCAAAATAAAGGAAATACAAGTCACCCATAATCCCTTCACTCAGAAATAATCCCTAAAAATAGCATGTTAAACATTATTTTATGACCTTTTTTTTCTTGTTGGTTTTCCTCCAGTATGCATACTGTATGTAGAAAAGGTTAATATACCATTCATTTCATAGAATAACCCAAATTTCTTAGCTTTATATCACTCCCATATTCCAGGCTTGGCAATTCTCTTAGAAGCCTTTCTCTCCATCTCCATTTCTCCCCACTCCCTACTCCCTACCTTGTTAGCTCTTCTTTATTTATCTAGTTAATATATTTGTTCCATTTTTACGTTATTGGGATGTCTTGATTTTATCAGCATGAGAGTTGCAAACTCGTAAAAGAGTCACTGCTCTCCAGCTGACTGATGAGCCGAATAGCAGCTAGACCTGTAGGTGCTGAAAGAAGTCTGTGAGGGATGCGGATACAGAGCCAGAAGCTGCAGTAGGCTCTCATTCCTCTGACTACCTTGAATGCTGCCACCATCTTCATGAGGGTACAGTGTTTTGAGGGTGGGAAATCTTGGTTTAGGCCCAAGCTATTAAAAAATTACTTATTTATATCATACAATACAATTCTTTTTTTTGCTATACAGTTCTAACATTGCTTAGAGTCATCTAACCACCACCTACATCAAGATTCAGAGTAGTTCCATCACCTAAAAAATGCCTTCATGCTCCCCTTTTTTTTTTTTTTAAACTCTTTTTTTTTTTTAAATTTTTATTTATTTATGATAGCACAGAGAGAGAGAGAGAGGCAGAGACACAGGCAGAGGGAGAAGCAGGCTCCATGCACCGGGAGCCCGACGTGGGATTCGATCCCGGGTCTCCAGGATCGCGCCCTGGGCCAAAGGCAGGCGCCAAACCGCTGCGCCACCCAGGGATCCCCATGCTCCCCTTTGAAGTCAACCTCTCTTCCTGTGCCCCAACCTCTAGTAATCACTGATCTGTTCTTCATCTCTTATAGTTTTGCCTTTTCCAGAATATCATATAAATGGAATCCTACAGTATGTAGCCTTTTGAATATGGCTTCTTTCACATGGCATAATTTGACATCCATCTGTATTGTTGTGCAAGTCATTATATTCTTTATGGCTAAGTAGTACATGGTATGAATGTACTACGGTTTGTTTATCCGTTCATCAGTTGAAGGACAAAGTTTTTTCCTCTTTTTAGTCATTATGAGTAAAGCTGCTATCAACATTTTCATACAGATTTTTACATAAACATAAGTTTTCATTTCTCTTGAGCAAGTGCCTAAGGAATGGGATTACTAGGTTGTATGGTAAGTATATACTTAACTTCATAAGAAGCCGACAAACAAAGTGGCCATACCATTTTGTATTCTCACCAGCAGTGAGTGAGAGTCGCAGTCACTCTGTACCCTCACCAGCACTTGACATTGTTAGTTGCCAGGCTAGTTGCTTGTCTCCTGTGTTAAAGAAAAGGAAGCCTGGCTCTATGTTGTGATGACAAAACACAGTATAGTATTTCCTTAGGAATATTATTGGCTTCTGTAGATTTGGGGTTTTGTTTGGATTTTTCAGGCCATGTTCATGTTCAGGCCCCTGGTGAGAGAACATCGATTGACTCACTTTATGTCTTCCTATAGGTGGATGGAAAAGGGTCCATCAAAGAGCTCTTTCCAACAGGAAAACAACTGGAGCCGTTAGTTGCACCTCTGGCAGATGGAAAAGTGGCTGTGGGTCAGGATGATCTCACCGTGGTGCTCAATGAGGAGGGGATCTGCACACAGAAATGTGCCTTGAATTGGACAGACATCCCAGTGGCCATGGGTGAGACCACCATAGCGGCTGTTTCCCACTTTGGCCTGGGGTTGTGTGCCATCCTCAACAGAATGGAATCCCATTCATAGTGTTAGCAGACTGTGGTTTACAGTGTCATTTACTCTGTTCCCCTTCTTATAAGTAGATGAGTGTTTAAGATCATTAAAAATGGGATATTCTGTTTTTTTTAGGAAGCTGGGTTGTGTCCCAGGGAGGGAAAAATATAAACAGAGTTACATGTTTTAGGAAGTCTACTGCCATATATTTTTACTTCTTGCTCCTTTTTTATTTTGCCTCTTTGTAATGGTTTTACTTATATTATTATATTTATATTTATATGTCCTTTGCCAGATAGACCACATTTGGAAATTATTTATTTATTCCTGTAATACATGTAACCCAGTATTGAGGTGCTTTTGATGTAATGTTTATTGCTTCTGTTGTCCTGTAGCTTGGAGGTGCAGATTGCATCTAAAGGCAGTCTCTGGCCTACCCGTTGGGTGTTTCTGTTCCTACCCCTGCCTCAGGCTCTCAGCAGTGGTACTGCTGAAAGGATGTGTGACCACTCTTGTAGCAATTTATTTTCAGTCAAAAGAGTGAGCATATTAAAAATTGTTACTGCTGTGGAGTGGAGCATGCAGTCATGCCATCTTTAAGGACTCTAGCTGGGGAGGTAAGGATTACATCTTGGATAAAGAGATAAGGCAAGGCACTGCTTTATCAGTTGTTCAGAGATGGGTTGAGATTCACTCGTTCAGAGAGTTCAGCTTGCCAATAAGAAGTTTCATTACATATGTAAGATTGGACTAGACTGGGCAGGGAGTTTATGATCTGGCTTGAAGAAAAGTCCCTGTCATTTTAGGCAGAAAAATAGTCTGAAAGGTGATTGGAAATGCTAATTTGTGAAGGAGCATTATAGAGATTGACCTGGGTAGAGCAGGTGGTCTGAATTACAGAGAAATGAGGATAGGCCGGTTGTTAGAGGCTGTAAAGGCCTGAGAGGCCAGTAGATTCTAACTGGGAGAGTGTTTTGGTAAAACCATCATATTCCAGGGTAATTATTGTGGTGATGGCTAGAGATGAACAGATCAGAAGGAAGATAAATAAAAAAGATGATATAAGGCCCAAGATTATGTTTATTAACAAGTTTGAAAGGCTAAGAGCTTCATGGGAAGCTTCATGGTGTTCTGGGGGACCCTTGTGTTCCCTTCAGAAGAGGAGTTGTGCGAGAAGTGATGAGATATATGTAATATGCTTGAAGTATGCTTCTGTTTCCCTAGTGTTAGAGTTCCTGTTTTATAAGCTTTGTTAGCACCCAGTGCCTTTGGCAGTGTTTCTTTAAAATATCTCTGTGCCTTAACACACTGAGGGAAGGAGAGGGCAGGGCGTTCTCTCTAGGCAGGTTAGGAGAACCACCGTCTGACAGGATGAAGACTAAACTTCCTCAACGGTGTGCATTTTAAACTTCCTTTATACTCTGCTCCCAACTTGACCACCTCACTTAAGCTACAGTCATCTTGGACGCCCCTGCACCGAGCCATCATCACCCATGCTCTTGCCTCTTCCTTTCTTCTCTGCCCAGCACTGTCCTACTCATATGACAAGGCCCTGTTCAGTGGCACTTCCTCTCTGAAGTCTTCCTGACACGCAGGCAGAATGAGTCACTTCCCTCTTGGTGCTTCCACAGCCCTTCAGGTTTCTCTGTCATGATACCCACACTGTCCCACTGGATGCAAGGAGTCGTCTGTCTCCTCTGCTCACGTAGGAGCTCTGTGAGCTCTGGACTCATGTCTTGATCCACTTGGAGTAGGGCCTGAAACCTAGCCATTTAGGAAATGCTTGCTGAATAGATGAATCACTGTCATTATCTTCCATTTATTAGATGTCTGCTATTTACCACCCACTCTGCCAAGTTTTGAAGATACAAAGAGATCCAGACCATCTCTGTTGTCAAAGAGTGGGGGAGATGGGACAATGATACGATATGACAATCAAAAGCCTTTCTATTAAAGATTACTTTTTAAAATTAAATTAGACCTTTAATATTAAAGTGGGTCAGATTAAAGGAGAGAGAAATTTTACATATTTATACAAATTAACATTAAAGGGAATTATACTAGCTTTAAAAATGAGGCCAGCATAAAAAGTAAAGTAAAAAAATCAATACAAAACATTTTTAAATTTTTTTGTAAGATGAAAAATACCAACATTAATAACAGCAATAGCATTCAAAGTGATGGGACTCTTACTTAGGCCAGTTCCCTTCCAGCTTTAATTTTTTTTTACTGTATTTAGAGTATAAATTGCAAATATAATACGAAAAACTTTTTGTCAGAAAATGAATGAGAGGGACGCCTGGGTGGCTCAGTGGTTGAGCGTCTGCCTTTGGCTCAGGACATGATCCTGGGGGCCGTGATCAAGTCCCACATCAAGCTCCTTGCAGGGAGCTTGCTTGTACCTCTGTGTCTCTGCCTCTTTTTCTATGTGTCTCTCATGGATAAATAAATAAAATCTTTAAAAAGAAAGAAAGAAAGAAAGGAAATAAATGAGAAAACTAAATCCATAGCAAGTTAGCCACACTAAGAAACTATGAATATATTCTCTGAAGTTAAATTTCTGTATGATAATTATGCCATCTAGTGGTTCATTTTTTACTGATTTTTTTTTTTGCATTTAAAAATTTTTCAATTTTAATTTTGGTAAAAAAACAAACCATAAAATCTATCATCTTTACCATTTTTAAGGGTACAGTTCATTAGTTACATATGTTCACGTTGTCATGCAGCAGATTTTCAGAACTTTCATCTTGCAACAATAAAACTCCATATCTATTAACAACCCTCTTCTTCCTCCTGTAGCCCTTGGTGACCACCATTCTACTTTCTGTTTCTGTGATTGAGACTCCAGAGACCTCATATAAGTGGTAGAGAACTGCCACGCTGAGAATGCCAGCCAGCTGCTTTCTCTGTGAACCATTAAGCTCAGGTGGAGTTTTGCATCTTTTCCCTGTGAAAATTTCCAGCAGAAATAACCGTGGCCAGAAATGTGGAACTCTTTCTTTAGCCTCATTTTAGGGAAAAAAGAAGTTGCCTTCCTCTTGCCCTTCTAAGAAAATGAAAGAAGAGGTCACATAATCTTCTTCTCCCCTGATGTATTGGTAAGGGCAGCTGCAGCTGGCCTTAATCTCTCTATGATGAGAAAGGGAGCAGAAGCTTTCAGCTCTTTGGAGGAGATGGTAGGAGTGGGATGAGGTCATTCTCACCAAAGCTGGATGCATCCTTCTTGTGCACGAGATTTCTCTTAGTGTCACTTGGACAAAACAATTTTTTTCCTTTGGATATCACAGCATAGGATCCTGGCTTGTTATTTGAGTAGTAGACTATCTGGAGATCCCATTTGAATGCAGCTTAGAAATGGGAAGCTGAAGCAGTCCATAAACCTTAGACCAGATCTACAACTCAAAGTGCTCTTTCTTGTGCAGAGCACCAGCCTCCCTACATCATTGCAGTTTTGCCTCGATATGTGGAGATCCGAACATTTGAGCCAAGGCTTCTGGTCCAGAGCATTGAATTGCAAAGGCCCCGCTTCATTACCTCTGGAGGGTAAGGAATTTGTTTACTGTAGCTGCCATATTATTGCAAAGCTTTAAAATCACCTAAGTCATCATAAAGCCTGTGCTCTTTTGCTAATATTCTTATTCCTGCCTCCAGATCAAACATAATCTATGTGGCTAGCAATCATTTTGTTTGGAGACTCATTCCTGTCCCCATGGCAACCCAAATCCAACAGCTTCTCCAGGACAAGCAGTTTGAATTGGCTCTACAGCTCGCAGTAAGTGTTATTTCTGAGATTTGGCTGTGAGTCTACCTCTTCATTGTTCCCCACAGTAGGTGATTTTGATTTAGTTTGGACTGGTAGAATAAGCACAGAGCTGAATATCAGAGGACCTGGATTCAGGATTTGACTCTGCCATTAAATATCCATTTAACTCTAAGTAATTTCGCTTTTTCAGATTGCTTATCTGTCAAATGTAGAATGAATGCCAATTATAATAATAGGACCTGTTAGAATTTATAAAACAATAAAATAATTTAATAGATATGTTACAGCCTTGAAAAATTAAAGAAGATGCAAGCATTAAAATAACAATCAGAAAGTAAAACTATGGTCTGGTTGAATGTAACAACTAGAGGGCTTTTCAAAATCTCTTTCAACAGTAGATCCCTGTCTTTGGATAAGCAGGCCTTCTTCAGGTATTCTGTAATCACCTCAAGTTGCTGCATTCAGTAGGGCTGCTCTCTTATATTTTGGCTGTCACTGTCCTTGAATGTTTGCATGGGATATGCACAGCCTCATAGCGCCCATGCTTTTGTGTTGGTGATTCTCTCATTGCCAGCACACTTCTTGGAGACTGACTTCTGAGACTTGTCTTACTCTTTTAAATATCCTCAGTGGTGATTATTGTCTGTAGAGAGTGGATTTGTTTTGAGGAAACAACCAAAGGTCATTCTGATCCTAGACATTAAACTGGGCAGTCCTAATTTAGTAAAAGAGAAGATTTTTTTTTGAAGATAATATTAAAAAGCATTGTTTTTAGAGTATATTATAAATTATTTCTGAAAGGAAAACAGTGGTCACAAATTTTGGAATTTGTGTTTATAGTCACATGTGGTAGATACTTTTGAAGGGCAACATTTATCTTGTATGTATACATTTTCTTTTTTTGTTTTTTTTTTTAAAGATTTTTTTATTAATTTATTCATGAGAGACCAGAGATGGGGAGAGAGAGAGGGGGAGGGATGGAGGCAGAGACACAGGCAGAGGGAGAAGCAGGCTCCATGCAGGGAGCCCGACATGGGACCTGATCCTGGGTCTCCAGGATCACAACCTGGGCCGAAGGTGGCGCTAAACCACTGAGCCACCCAGGCTGCCTGGATGTATACATTTTGTTTTCTTCTGTTGTTGTTGTTTGTTTTTTTGTTTTTTTGTTTTTTTTATAATAAATTTATTTTTTATTGGTGTTCAATTTGCCAACATACAGAATAACACCCAGTGCTCATCCCGTCAAGTGCCCCCCTCAGTGCCCGTCACCCATTCACCCCCACCGCCCTCCCCTTCCACCACCCCTAGTTCGTTTCCCAGAGTTAGGAGTCTTCATGTTCTGTCTCCTTTCTGATATTTCCTACCCATTTCTTCTCCCTTCCCTTCTATTCCCTTTCACTATTATTTATATTCCCCAAATGAATGGGACCATATAATGTTTGTCCTTCTCCGATTAACTTATTTCACTCAGCATAATACCCTCCAGTTCTATCCACGTTGAAGCAAATGGCGGGTATTTGTCATTTCTAATGGCTGAGTGACATTCCATTGTAGGATGTATACATTTTGGATCCAGTCTTAACAGTTAGACATATTTAATATGCCATAAAGATAGTTTCTGTCTTGAGACATTTCATTTCAGTATCTTACTAATTTATTTTATTTTTGCCACTCATTCATTGCCCTAAATTACTTTATTTTCATTTTAAAAATAATAAATATCAGGGTGCTTGGGTGGCTAGTTGGTTAAGCATCTGCCTTCAGCTCAGGTCATGATCCCAGGGTCCGGGGATCACCCCACGTTGGGCTCTTGCTCAACAGGGTGTCTGGTTCTGTGTCTTCCTCTGCTCCTCCCCCTCAGCTCATGCTATCTCTCACTTTCTCTCTCAAATAAACAAAATCTTTAAAAAGATAATAATAAATACCCAGTAACCCACCATCCTACCCAAGAAAAACAATTTATATAATCTATATGTTCCTCCCCATCTCATCCTTCTGCTTCCCCTCCAGACACAGCCATTTTCCTAAATTTGTGTTTATCATGCTCTTTAAGAATGTGTTTCTTGCTGAAAAATCTCAAAACAACAACCTAACCATACACCTAAAGGAGCTAGAAAAAGACAAACAAAACTCCACACTAGCAGAAGGAAGGAAATAAAGATTAGAGCAGAATTGAATGGAATAGAACCAAGAAAAAAAAAAGTAGAACAAATCAATGAAACCAGGAGCTGATTTTTTGAAAAGATCAACAAAATTGATAAACTGCCAGACTCATCAAAAAAGAGAAGACTCAAACAAAATTAGAAATGAAAGAGGAGAAATAACAATTGACACAACTGAAATACGAAGAGGATTATAAGAGAATAATATGAAAAATTATATACTAACAAATTGGACAACCTAGAATATGTAAATAAATTCCTAGGAACTATAGCCTCCCAAAACTGAATCAAGAAGAAATAGAAAATTTTAACAGACTGATTACCACCAATGAAATTGAATCAGTAATCAAAAAACTTCCAGAAAACAAAAGTCCAGGACCAGATGGCTTCACAGATATATTCTACCAAACATTTCAAGAAGTTAATATTATTCTCCTCAAACTATTCCAAAAAATAGAAGAGGAAGGAAAGCTTCTCAATTCCTTCTATGAGGCCAGCATTACTCTGATATTAAAAACCAGATAATGATGTTACCGAAAAAAAAAAAAAGAGAGAGAGAGAACTACAATATCCCTGGGTCAATACCCCTGATGAACATAGATGCAAAAATCCTCAATGAAATACTACCTCACTGAATCCAACAGTACATTAAAAAAAAAAAAAAATCATTCACCACAATCCCGTGGAATTTCTTCCTGGGTTGTAAGGGTCGGATTTCTCCCTGAGTTGCAAATCTTCCTGATTTGCAAATAAGTCAGTGTGATACATCAATATGAGATAGGATAAGAACCATAATGATTTCAATAGACACAGAAAAAACGTTTGACAAAGTACAATATCCAATCATGATAAAAAAAAAAAAAGTCGGTTTAGAGGGAATATACCTCAACATAATAAAGGCCATGTATGAAAAACCCATAGCTAATATCATCCTAAGTGGGGAAAGCTGAGAACCTTTCCCCAAAGGTCAGGAATAAGAAAAAGTTGTCCACTCTTTTATTCAGTGTAGTACTGGATGTCCTAGCCAAAGCAGTCAGACGCAAAAAGAAATAAAAGGCATCCAAATCAATAAGGAAGAAGTAAAACTATCACTATTTGTGGATGGCATGATGCTGTATATAGAGAACCCAAAAGACTCCACCAAAAAACTAGAAGTAATAAATGAATTCAGTAAAGTTGCAGGATACAAAATCAATCTACAGAAATCTGTTGCATTACTCTACACTAGCAATGAAATAGCAGAAAGAGAAATTAAGAAAACAATCCCATTTACAATTGCACCGAAAAGGATAAAATACCCAGGAATAAACTTACCCAGGAGGTGAAAGACCCGTACTCTGAAAACATTGATGAAAATGTTTAATGACACAAATGGAAAAATATTCCATGCTCATGAATGGAAGAATTAATATTGTTAAAATGTCTATACTACCAGAAGTAATCTGTAGATTCAATGCAATCCTTATCAAAACCCAACAGTACTAAAATTTGTATGTAACCCACAAAAGACCCCAAATAGTGAAAACACTCTTGAGGAAACAAAAAAACAAAGCTGGAGGAGAGGTATCACAATGCCTGATTTCAAAATACACTGCAAAGCTGTAGTAATCAAAACAATATGATACACAAAAATGGACACATAGATCAATGAAACTGAATAGAGAGCCTAGAAATAAACCATGATCATATGACCAATTACTTTGCGACAAAGTAGGCAAAAATATACAATGGGTAAAAAACAGTCTCTTCAACAAAAGGTGTTGGGAAAACAGGACAGCAACATGCTGAATGAAACTGGATCGCTTTCTTACACCATACACAAAAATAAAGTAGACTGAAGACCTAAATGTGAAATTTTTTTTTTTTTTAAGATTTTATTTATTTATTCATAGAGACACACAGAGAGAGGCAGAGACACAGGCAGAGGGAGAAGCAGGCTCCATGCAGGGAGCCTGATGTAGGACTCAATCCCTGACCCTTGGATCATGACCTGAGTCAAAGGCAGAGGCTCAACCACTGAGCCACCCAGGCGTCCCCTAAATGTGAAATCTGAAACCATAAAAATCATGGAACAAAGGCATTAAATTCTCCGATATGGGCCATGGCAATATTTTTCTAGATGTGTACCTTCAGACAAGGGAAACAAAAGGAAAAATAAATTATTGGGACTACATCCAAATAAAAACCTGTGCAGCAAAGGAAGCCATCAACAAAACTAACAGACAACCTACAGAATGGGAGAATTAATTTATTGAATATGAATGACATTCAGTAAAGGATTAGTATCCAAAATAAAGAATTTCTACAACTCAGCACCCAAAAAACAAATAATCCAACTATAAAATGGGCAGAAAACATGAATAGAGATTTCTCCAAAGAGGACGTACAGATTGCCAAGAGACACATAAAAAATGTTCAATAGGGGATCCCTGGGTGGTGCAGCGGTTTGGCGCCTGCCTTTGGCCCAGGGCGCGATCCTGGAGACCCGGGATCGAATCCCACGTCGGGCTCCTGGTGCATGGAGCCTGCTTCTCCCTCTGCCTATGTCTCTGCCTCTCTCTCTCTCTCTCTCTCTCTCTCTCTCTCTCTATCATAAATAAATTTAAAAAATTAAAAAAAAAGATTAAAAAAATGCTCAATATCACTCATCATCAGGGAAATGCAAATCAAAACCACAATGAAATATTACCTCACACCTGTCAGAATCACTAAAATAAAAAACATAAGGAACAACAAGTGTTGGTGAGGATGTGAAGAAAAAGGAACCATCGTGAACTGTTGGTCGGAATGCAAATTGGTGCAGTTACTGTGGAAAACTATGGAGGTTCTTTAAAAAATTAAAAACAGGGCAGCCCGGGTTGCTCAGCGGTTTAGCACCGCCTTCAGCCAGGGCCTGATCCTGGAGACTCAGGATCGAGTCCCACATTGGGCTCCCTGCATGGAGCCTGCTTCTTCCTCTGCCTGTGTCTCTGCCTCTCTTTCTCTCTGTGCCTCTCATGAATAAATAAATAAAATATTAAAAAAAATTAAAAACAGAACTACCATATGATCCAGTAATTCCACTACTAGGCATGTTTACCCAGAGAATACAAAAACACTAATTCAAAAGGTTATATGCACCCCTATGGTTATTGCAGCATTATTTATAATAGCCAAGATAGGGAAGGAATATGTCTACTGATAGATGAATGGATAAAGAAGGAGTAGTGTATATATACAGTGGAATATATATTCAGCCAAAAAAGAATGAAATCCTGCCATTTACAATGACATGAATGGAACTAGAAGATATAAAGCTAAGTGAAATCAGTCAGAGAAAGACAAATACATATAATTTCACTCGTGGAACTGAAACAAAAGGACAAAAGAGACAAACCAAAAAAAAATAGACCTCTTAACTGTAGAGAACAAACTGATGGTTACCAGAGGGGAGGTGAGTAGGGGCATGTGGGGAAGAGGTGATGAGGACTAAGGAGTGCACATGTTGTGATGAGCATAGAGTGTTGTATGGAAGAATTAAATCGCTACATTGTACACCTGAAACTAATATCACACTATGTTAATTATACTGGAGTTAATAAATTTTAAAAGTTGATTTCTTGCTAGTCATTACATATATATGTGTGTTTGAATATGTTACTTCGTTTTTGAAGATTAAAGGGTATCATGCAGCACATAGCTTTTTTAATATCTATTTTCTTCACAGGAAGGCCTTGGGTCTTTACAGGGATCTTCCTGCTGCAGGTTGTGTGTTTAATCTTCAGTAGAATAGGTGCAAGTGGGTTTCCATTTTTCCTTCTCTTTTCTAGACTTGTACTTACTAGATGTTCCACGCTATGATGAAAGAAGGTTGGTTGATAACATCTCAGCTCTTGAGGAACCTATCTGGGATAAATAAACCAAAAAACATACATGAAACTTTGAGAGGGCGAGTACATATTAAACTCCGCCATTGACCAAATGTGGAGCAAAATTTTAGCCAGGGTATAGTTCCCTATGATCTGGACAAGGCATCCCACAGGTGGACCGCTGAATAAGTGATATCAGGATCAGGTGGGAAAACAGGGAGCATTAAGAGCCTGAGGAAGTTGAAGAAGTGAAAATGTGTGGAAATGATTGGAACCCATCCTGACTGGAGCGGAGAGTGATGCTTGAGTGTCTGGGAATAAGCTAGAGAAGGAGGCTGTGCCAGGTTCTGAAAGCACCAAGAGGGCTTTAGACTGGGTGTGGCCATGTGGTGATGGTGGTCTGGACTAGAGTGACAGCTACAGAACAGAAGAAAATAAGGGAAAAAATGCAAAGACATTTTGAAGGAAGAAATTAAATGTAGTAAAGATTGGTTAAAAAGAATGTAAGAGGGATCCCTGGGTGGCGCAGCGGTTTGGCGCCTGCCTTTGGCCCGGGGCGCGATTCTGGAGACCCGGGATCGAATCCCATATCGGGCTCCCGGTGCATGGAGCCTGCTTCTCCCTCTGCTTGTGTCTCTGCCTCTCTCTCTCTCTGTGACTATCATAAATAAATTAAAAAAAAGAATTTAAAAAAAAAAAAAAAAAAAAAAAGAATGTAAGAGGACCAAAAGGTTATAAGGAAGAAAGAAAGATAATAAATAGCCATGTTAAGTTAGCTCTTACTGCAAACAGGACTGTTCATAGCTGTGTCAGCTACATTAAATGCCCTTCATTCCTTGAGCATGCCATGTTCCTTCTGTCACATTAGGGCATCACACATGTGCTGTCCTCTTCCCTTCTATCAGCTGACTGGCCTCCTCTGGCCAACCCCAGCTTGGCCCTGTGTCTCAGGTCACATTCCTCCTGGCTTCCTTCTCAGGCCCACCACTCAGACTAGATTGGGTACCCCTCCCATGTGCTTCTGACCTCACGCTGGTTTTGTTTTAGTTTTGATTTTTTTGTGTGTGTTTTAAACTAAACTCTAGACTTTATTCAGTTTTCACCAGTTTTCCCGTTAATGCCCTTTCTCTGTTCCAGTTTCAGATCTAGAAATTACAGTTGTATTTAGTTGTTGTGTTTCCTTAGTGTCCTTTAATCTGTAACAGTTTCTTAACTTTCCTTGTTTTTCAAGACCTTGACAGTTTTTAGTAGTACTGCTCAGGTATTTTGTAGAAACTCTGTTGCCTTGTAATTGCATAGTTTCTTCTTAGTCTTGTGGTTAGAATGTTAGAACAGTCCATGAGGGCACATGCCATGTGGCTTGTCTTGTACACTTTGGCATGTGGACCTCCCAGGATGTTGTGTGATACTTAGTATATACTGAATAAATATTTGTTGAATGAGTAAGCTCTTACCTATCCTACTCTCTTACTAGGAAATGAAAGAAGATTCTGACAGCGAAAAGCAGCAACAGATCCATCACATCAAGAACTTGTATGCCTTCAACCTCTTCTGCCAGAAGCGTTTTGATGAGTCCATGCAGGTCTTTGCTAAGCTTGGCACAGGTAACACATGGGTTTGGCCTTGGTTGGACCTAATGGAGTGAGGTGAAACTGGAAAGCATGGGAGAAATGGTGCTGGATGTCTGAGACCAGGGAAAGTTCCTGCTCATCTCAGTTGATCCTTGTGCCTCACAGGATCCTGTGGATGGCCACAGTGGTTATATATTTATAGTCCTCATCTTGTATATCTGTCTCACCCATTAAACACAGACTTCCACTATCCCTTTATTTACAGTAGAGAGGCTAGGTCTCTTTCCAGGGGCTGGAATGTTCATACATGGCACCCCAGGCACTCCTTTTTATGTATATCGAGGTACAGGCATTTTTGCTATGATGCCTTGAATGTGGTCCAGCAAAACCTGATATTCTATAATAAATACTCATGGGAAATAACAGGGCTTATGGGAAAAATGAGGTTGAGACAGACCACTCAAGACATAGGCAGCCTTTTATGTGGAATACTAATGAAAACAATAACAATCCTACTAAAATTAAATTCCCATTGATTTTGGTACTCAGCATGTCAGTGCTTTGCAGCCTTAAATCCTGAGGCTATGCTTTTTCTTTTAAGATACACATCTTTGAGAATATTTGCTTCTAATAAAAACTAGTTTCATGAAAATAAAAAGTCTGATCCTGGATATAGACTTCTTTGTGAGCCCCCCCCAAAAAATGAATATGTGGGGAACATCCTTGCTTTATCTCAGCTTTTCCAGGTGGTTTAACTTAATAGAAAGTATAGTGGTTTTTGAAGCTTCTTATCAGCCACTCTTTGCTCTAAAAGAGGTCATTTCTATAGGACTTTCAGTTCTTTTCTTTAAGGTCTCCCTGTGTAGTTAAGGCTTTCTCTTTAATTGTGAAGAAGCTTGCCTGGTCACTTCAAAACATTAACAAGCTGGAGAAATTTGCATACAAACCAACACAACTTTTTAAGATTTTATTTATTTACTAGAGAGGAAGAGAGAGCACAGAGGGAGAGGGAGAAGCAGACGCCCCATTGATCAGGAAGTCCAATGTGGGGCTTGATCCCAAGACTCCAGGATCATGACCTGAGCCAAAGGCAGATGCTTACCCGACTGAGCCACCCAGGTGCCCCCCTCAACACAACTTATGCCTCATATCATTCCTATTTACCAGCTGTGCATGAACTCATTCACATGAAAGAAACTCAAGTTGTAGCAGAACAGAGTGTACCTGGGATGCCAAGAAAACTGTTTTGGAGGCATGGAATAGCAGAAAAGTTTTGTGGAAGGATGTTTCTTCTGAGCCAGAGGGAGGCTAGCTGGAATATACTACCAGGCCCAGTGTCCTTTGGTCCCCATAGTGTAGGGTGGACTGGGCCCAGGTTTGCTTTCCTGCCCCTCCCTTTACTTGTTCCGCAGATAGGCTTCTTATATGTGGGGCCTGTTTCTACCCCTTGTGAATGAGGAAGAAGCTCTGTCTGTTCCCACTGGGGACATACGGCCTTTAAGTGAGCTTTATCAAGTTTGTGAACCACCCTAGACTTAATGTAAAATATTTTTCATACATGAGTTTTTCTGAAGAGAGGATCAGTACTTTTTATCAAATCCCCCAATGTTTTAGATCCTTAAAATGTTTAAGAACCAATATTTTAGAATTATTTCCTTGCGGCAGCCCACAGCTTATGCATAAAAAGCTCTAATGCAAGATAGCAAGGTAAGTACTATAGGTATTTGTACTAGAGTTTGATAAGACACTGCATTGAGGCCATGGGGCTTTGGACTCTTGGTGGTCAAGCATGATGCATGGAATGGCAAGAATGTGAATAAGATAGTTTTTATATATTTTTTTAATATTTTATTTATTTGAGAGAGAAACAGCATGAGAAGGGATAGGGGTGAGAGAGGCAGAGGAGCAGGGAGCCCCACATGGGACTAGATTCCAGAATCCCAGGATCATGACCTGAGCCAAAGGCAGACGCTTAACCGACTGAGCTACCCAGGCACCCTGTTTTTAAATTTCTTGAAATCCATATTTAGATCTTGAAATTGAGCCTTAGATTCTTGAATTGGTTCACATACTATATATATTCATTACTTAGTAAAAATTTTTATGAAGCTTCTATCATGCCTTGAAGACTATTCTGGGTACCAAGTAATGGGGCTTATATTCTGATAGAGTGCAGACAACAAAATAATTAGCAAATTTATAATATATTGGGAAGTCAAATTAAAAAAAAAAAAAAAAGGGATCCCTGGGTGGCACAGCAGTTTGGCGCCTGCCTTTGGCCCAGGGCGCGATCCTGGAGATCCAGGATCGAATCCCACGTCGGGTTCCCGATACATGGAGCCTGCTTCTCCCTCTGCCTATGTCTCTGCCTCTCTCTCTCTCTCTGTGTGTGACTATCATAAAAAAAAAAAAATATCTATCTATCTATCTATCTATCTATCTATCTATCTATATAGGGAAGTGGTAAGTCCTAAGAAAAACAAAGCAGGGGAATAGGGATAAGGAGTATTGAAGATAGGAATTAGGATTGCAATTTAAGATAAGATGATCAGGATTGCAATTTAAGATAAGATGATCAGGAAAGGAGTACTGAAAATAGGAATTAGGATTGCAATTTAAGATAAGGAAAGATAAGATCTGAAAACTTAGGGTCTCAAGGAAGCTATTTAATGAAGTGGCAGAGTCTGGGGAAGTGCCCTACAGGCAAAGGGAATGGCTAGTGCCACGGTGGTGAGGTTGGAATGCTGCCTTGTGTGGTCCAGGAGCAGCCGGATCCATGTGGCTAGAGCAGAGTTGATCTGTTGATCAGCATAAGGAATATGCAGTTGATCTGCATAAGGAATATAATCCCATTGTCAATTACTAGTCTGTATTACTGGGATTCAGTGTATGATATAATCCTCCACTCAGTGAACATGTGGCCCAAAGGCAAATCAGGTAAGCATTGTCAGTGCCAGCTCTACCTTCAATTCTGGGCTTCACAGATAAATAAGACCCGTTATATGTCCACAGAGAGTTTGCATGTAAAACCATTCAGTAAAACATTGTGAAACAAGTGTAAAAGAGTTCTTCAGTATTGTGGAGAAGTAAGTTAGGAGGTCTTAAGAGGAAGAGAGAGAGGAGGTGACTGGGCTCTGAAAGGTAGAAGGAAAAGCAGAGCGTAAAGGAAGGAGGGCGACAGGAAGACCCAGTGATGGCTGAGGGTCTGTGAGCCACAGTCCAGTGTGAGGTTTGTGGTACTTAATAGGTCATATGAGAAAGAGATGTTGGGTCCAAATTTTAGAGGACCTTGAATACTGCAAGGGAATTTGGACATTGTATTGTAGGCTTCAGGTGACATCACAACTTTTTAATTAGAGCGATATGGTTAGAGCCATATCTGTAGACTCTGAGGGGGGCTGACAAAGCCTAGGCAAGGGCCATATATTCACTCCAGGTCCCCAGCAGTTATCTTCATTTCTTAGACTGTGCTTCTGTGTGGCCATCACATAGATCTGCCAACTGCCCCATTCAGTTGGCACTTGTCATGAGTGTCTTTTTCACATTATCGTAATTCTCAAATTTTGAGGAACACAGTCTTCCTGGCTTGGCAGAAATATGGTGACCCAGGTTCCTTGGGAACACTATGGGTTCTGGAGGGTTCAAGGCAAGATTGTGAATTTTTCTTCTGGTCTGCTGGCCTGGAGCTCAGCTCCTTGTAGAAGGGACATGGCCTTCTCTTGTTCCTCCAACTTTTTTTTTTTTTTTTAATGAAAATCAAGTAATGCTAGGACAAAACATTTGTTAAAGTATTAAAGGAAGAAAAATTTACTCTAGATCTTGATTCTCGTTTTGTCTTTTGCATCCAAGCTTTTTCCACATATATACATCTCAATATAATTATAATCATGACTGTATATGCTGTTACAGCTTTTGTTACTTAATATTGTTAGTGTTTTTCCATGTTGCTGTGTGTACTTTATAATTATAATTTATAATGATTGCATTATAGTCTTTTAGTTAAATAGACTATAGTCTGCTGCTGAAGGAATTCCACATTGTTTCCAGAATTGCACTGTTACAAATAATGCTCCCTACGTGACCTGTTCATTCGGATGTCTTCTCCCTTCCATCTTATAGATTGTTTTCTTAGGGCAAACTCTTAGAAGTGGGATTAGTGGGTCCAAGTGCTTTTTTCCTTATTGAGGTAGCAATATTTTTTTGCCTTGGCAGTGTAAGAGTGATTCAGTTTCATAATATTGCAAGCACCGGGTAGTATATAAAAATTTTTTTACTAATTTTACTAATGTACTACTTTGATTCTTAATGTGACAGAATGTTTTCCGACTTATTTATATTTTCTTGTCATTTGTTCATGTCTTTTGCCTGTTATCTGATGAAATCTCTTTATCAATTTATGTTTTAAATAATTAATTATAAGCCTCTTGTCATATATGCTGCAAATATATGCCCTAGCCTATTGTCTGGCTTTGTTTTAATAATAATAATTTGTTTTAGTCATATTCCTTTTTTGACATACAGTTCTTTTATTTTTTAAGGCTATTGATCTTTTCAGCTTTAATGTCTTAGCAGAAAATTTTTTCTCCTCCACTTTCAGACAGTTTGTAAATCTTCAGTTCTAATTCTGCATATGTGTATGTGTGTATACCTTGGAATATGGAGTCAAGCCATTTTTGTACTGGTTTAGTGAAATGTATATATAAATAGTGCTCAAATTATATAAGTATAGAGCTTATTGAGTCTTTATGAACTTAGAGTCATTCTTTAAAAAAAAAAAAAATCAGTCTAAGGGTGCCTGGCTAGCTCAGTCGGTAGAGCATGCGACTCTTGACCTTGGAGTTGTGAATTTGAGCCCTGTGTTGGGTATAGAGATAACTTTAAAAAAAAAAAATCCTTAAAAAAAATCAATCTGGAACTTATTTTGCTATAGTAATAGTCTTGTTTTATTTGATCCTCAAATTGCTGTGCTTCTTTCTGAGAAATCATGTTTACCTCTATGTAGATCCTACCCATGTGATGGGCCTGTACCCAGACCTGCTGCCCACAGACTACAGAAAGCAACTGCAGTATCCTAACCCACTGCCAGTGCTGTCGGGGGCTGAATTGGAGAAGGCACATTTAGCTCTGATTGACTACCTGACACAGGTAGGTATGATACAGAGGAGTATGGAAGAGTTTACCTGGGAGTTCCAGTACCTGCTTTTCTATTGCAGAGAAGTGAGGGCCTTCTCTCTACAGGCATTCCATAAATGAATGACGTAAAAGTGATGGTGGGCTGAGCATATTTCTTTCTCCTTCATCTCCCTGCTCATACCAGTGAGCTGCCTGTTGCCAAATCTTTATACCAGGAAATGTACGTGATTTCTGGTAAATTTACACTAAGCTGTTATGGGAACTAAAAAGGATAAATTTTAGTTGGTAGGAAATACTAATTTTTTTGAAACACTTTTTTGGAGCATACATACTTGTGGAAAAATACTTGCTCAATGCAGGAGACTGGGCAAACACAGAAAAGTATAAAGCAAAAGTACAAGTCACCAATATTTCTACCACCCAGAGAAAAATCACCAACATTATAGTGTTGTCCTTTAGACCTCTAGAGGCATACCTCCTTTATTGTGTTTCACAGATGCTGGTTGTTTTTTTTTTTTTTTTTTTTTTTTAACAAATTGAAGATTTGTGCCAACCCACATTGAACAAGTCAGCACTATTTTTCCAACAGCATTTACTCACTTTGTGTCTCTGTGTCACATTTTGATACCCTCTCACATTTCAAACTTTTTCATTATTGTATTTGTATTGTATTTGCCCTCTCACATTTCAAACTTTTTCATTATTGTATTTGTTATTGTGATCTGTGATCACTGATCTTTTATGTTACCATTATAATTGTTTTGGGATGCCACCACCTGTGCCCATAGAAGATGGCAAACTTAATACATGTTGTGTGCATTCTGACTACCAACTGGCTATTCCCTGCCTCACCTATCCTTTGGGTCTCCCAACTCCCTGAGACATAATAATATTGAAATTAAGTCAATAACCCTACAATGGGGGCAGCCTGGGTGGCTCAGAGATTTAGTGCTGCCTTCAGCCCAGGGCCTGATCCTGGAGACTCAGGATCAGGTCCCACGTCAGGCTCCTTGCATGGAGCCTGCTTCTCCCTCTGCCTGTGTCTCTGCCTCTCATTCTCTCTGTCTCTCATGAATAAAGAAATAAAATCTTTAGGAAAAAAAATGGCCTCTAAGTATTCAAGTAAAAGGAAGAATTGCTATTTCTCACTTTAAATCAAAAACTAAAAGTAATTAAACTTAGAGGAAAGCATGTCAAAAGCCAAGATAGGCCAAGATTTAGGCCTCTTGTGCCAGTGAGCCAAATTGTGAATGCAAAGGAAAAGCTCTTGAAGGAAATTAAAACTGCTGCATCAGTGAACATGAATAAGAAAGTGAAAGCAGCTTTATTGCTGATGTGCAGAAAGTTTTAGTGGTCTGGATAGAAATCAAAACAGCCACAGCATTCCCTTTTACCAAAGCCTTATCCAGAGCAAGGCCCTAAAACTCTCTTCAACTCTATGCAAGCTGAGAAGGATGAGGAAGCTGCAGAAGAAAAGTTTTAAAGCTAGCAGAGTTTGGTTCATGAGGGTTAAGAAGGAAGGCATCTCCATAACATGAAGTTAAAGGTGAGGCAGTAAGTGCTGATGTAGGTGTTTGCAGCAAGTTATCCAGATCTGGCTAAGATCATTAATGAAGGTGGCTCCACTAAACAAATTTTTCAGTGTAGACAAAACAGCCTTCTGTTGGAAGGAAATGCTAACTAGGACTTTCATAGCTAGAGAAGAGAAGTTATGCTTGGATTCAAAGCTTCTAAGGACAAGTTGACTGTCTTGTTAGGGGCTAATATAGCTGGTGACTTGAAGTTGGAGCAGTCTTTCTTGACCACTGAAAATCCTAGGGTCCTTAAAAATTATGCTACATCTGTTCTGCGTGTGCTTTGTAAGTGGAGCAACAAAGCCTGGGTGACAGCACATCTGTTTACAGTATGGTTCATGGAATATTTTAAGCCCACTGTTGAGACCTGCATCTCAGAAAAAAAGGATTCCTTTCAAAATATGACTGCTCATTGGCAACGCACCTGGTCACTCACTCTGATGGAGATGAGAGTAAGATTAATGTTGTTTTCATACTAACAGCATTAATTCTGCAGCCTGTGGATCAAGAAGTAATTTTAACTTTCAAGTCTTATTTAAGAAATATATTTCACAAGCCTATAGCTTCTATAGATAATGACTCCTCTGTATCTGGGCAAAGTAAATGGAAAACCTTCTGGAAAGGATTAATTATTCTACATACCATTAAGAACACTCATGATTCATGGGAAGAGGTCAGAATATCAATATGAACAGGAATTTGGTAGAAGTTGATTCCAGCCCTCATGGATAACTTTGAGGGAGGAGTTCAAGACTTCAGTGGAGGAAGTACCTACAGATGTGGTAGGAATAGCAAGAGACCTAGGATAAGCAGTGGAGCCTGGAGACATGACTGAACTGCTGTGATCTCATGATCACACTGTAATGGATGAGGAGCTGCTTCTTATGGATGAGCAAAGAAAGGAGCTTCTTGAGATGGAATATACTCCAGTTGGAGATGCTGTGAAGATTGTTAAAAATGACAACAAAGGATTTAGAATATTCCATAAACATAGTTAATACAGCAGCAGCAGGGTTTGAAAGGATGGACTCCAAGAAGTTCTATGGCTAAAATGCTACCTGACACCATCACATACTATAGAGAAATAATTCTTGAAGACTCAACTTCTGTGGCAAACTTTGTTGTCATATTTTAAGAAATTGTCACAGCACGCCAACCTTGAGTCATCAACATGGAGGCAGGACCCTCCACCAGCAAAAAGGATCACAATTCACTGAAAGCTCAGATGACAATTAGCATTTTTTAGCAATGAAGTATTTTTAAATTAAAGTATATCCATATTTTGTTAGAGAATACTACCATATCATGTAAGCATAACTTTTGTATATACTGTGAAACCAAAAAGTTAATTTGACTAGCTTTACTGAGATACTCATTTTATCAGAGTAGTCTGTACCAAACCCACAATGTCTCTGAGATCTGCTTGGATATCTATTTGTGAGTTCGGTTTTTTAAAAATTTACTGGGGCCCCTGGGTGGCTCATTTGGTTGAGCGGCCGACTCTTGTTTTTGGCTCAGCTCATGATCTTGGGGTCCTGGGGTTGAGCCCTGCATCAGGCTCTGTGCTCATCAGGGAGTCTGAGGATTCTCTCGCCCTCTCCTTTTGCCCCTCGCCTCACTCACATGTACTCCATCTGTCTCTCTCCCTCTCTCTCTCAAATAAATCTTTAAAAATTTAAAAATAAAAATTTATTTATTAGGTCATTATTGCCAATGGATATCAAACTAAAGTTCTCTGGCTTGCTTTTTAAAAATGTAGCTGTATATTGAGAAAGTCCCTCCCTGTCAATAAATATTCTTCTATAACCTGGTTTTTTTTTAGAGGGAGTATTTAAATTTAAGGTTTTTTTTTTTTTTTTTTCAGTTTACTGTTATGGAGAGATAAGTGAAATTTTCAAGTGAACACTAAAACTAATGTCTCCGTTAAAGATTCTTCTCCCCAAACTTCTGTCACAAAGGGCCTTTATTTCCTGAACACTCACTCAGAGTCAGATAACTTAGTAAATTTTTTCCTCATTAGTGTTCTGAAGACCTCTACAAGAGGTCCCCTGGGCAGACACTGAGAAATACTGCTAGGAAATTGTAAGCCAGCTATCTGCCACCTGCTTCTGGGCTAGTGAATGTCCCACAGAGCTGATCTGGCATGCATAGCCTTGGCACTTCCTTGACATTGGGATCCAGGAGTACCCAGCCGTGGCTGGCAGCCTGCAAGGAGCACACAGACCTGCCTCTGTCTCCACCTTGCACAGCTCATATGGCCATACAAAGTGGAAAAGGTTCCTGGGGTAAAATATCTCCTAAGCCTGTGGCATCAAAGAATGCCCTTTATTGCCAGTGTCTTTGCTTTACAACTCTGACCACACATTTTTTTCCCTGGACTTCTCGCTGACATTTGGAATGTGTGAAGTTAACTGACATTGGCATTGTGTCAGAGAGTTGAGCATATAAGACTAAGGGCATTGCCAGGCACAATATGGTACAAACAGGATTATTCTCTTTATATGAAGTTCAAGAATAGGTAAAAACTAATCTCTAGTGATAGAAACCAGATCTATGGGAAGGAGTTGGGTGGGATTGAGAAGAGCACAAGGGAACTTCCTGGGGTGTTAGAAATGTTCTTTTCATTGATTGGGGTTTTGGTTATGTGTGTGTGTGTATGTGACAAAATGGATTTCATACTTTAAAAGGGTACATTTTATTGTATGCTACTTACACCTCAAGAAAGTTGATTTAAAAAAAAAAAAAGAAAAGAAAAGAAAACGGGCTTTGGAATTAGACCCTAGTTTGAAACTTGTGTCAGCTACTTGTGAGAGATCTAATACCTGTGCCTTGGCTTCTTGGCTTGTAAAATAGGGATTATAATACCTGCATTTGTTGTAGGTTTAAAATAGGATGACATAAAATTCTTGATATAGTGCCTGGTATGTAGTAACCCCTGATAAATAATTGTTACTGTATCTGTGGCAATTTGGCATTCATCTGTTTTGATCCCTGATAAAGACTATGTGCTAATATGAAATCAGGGTGGATAAGTATGAGCCATGTTGGAGATATTTGGAATTACCTGGTAGCTCAGGTGATAAGGATGATTTAGTCCTGGCCTTAATCCCACTTTTTTGGGCCTTTGCAGAAACGAAGCCAATTGGTAAAGAAGCTGAATGACTCTGATCACCAGTCTAGCACCTCCCCTCTCATGGAAGGCACTCCGACCATCAAATCCAAGAAGAAGCTATTGCAAATCATTGATACCACCCTGCTCAAGTGCTACCTCCATGTGAGTTCTCTGAGCTCTCGGTACCCACAATTGCCTAGTCCCCTGAAACTGGGAAAGTGCTACCTTGGAGTCCTGCCATTAGAGTGAAATCTCTGATAATGGGAACCACCTAGTCTTTGCTTGACACCTCTGAGCTTCTAGGAGTTAAGAATATAAGGCAAGATACTGCCCCAGAATGTTTAGTAGGCTGGTCTTCTCTGCTAAGACTGGGAGTTAGTGCTACAGGATAAAGAGACAATGTTTCCTGAATATATCCCCTTCCTCCCCCACTCCCCTCCAGAACATTAAAACCTGCTGTGTGAAAGAATATACGTAATGCTGTAAAAGCCACTACCTGTAGTCCTGAAGAAGGGTGGTTTGCCTATTCTTGCTTGTGTTTCATCCCTGACCTTTCAACCTGAAGCAAACCTAGGCTAGGTGGGGAACAGGTGGGGGTGCTCCTCCATGATGCAGCATCCCCTGAAGTCCTGCTTCCTCTGCAGACGAACGTGGCCTTGGTGGCGCCTCTGCTGCGCCTGGAGAACAATCACTGCCACATCGAGGAGAGTGAGCATGTGCTGAAGAAGGCGCACAAGTACAGTGAACTGATAATCCTGTATGAGAAGAAGGGGCTCCATGAGAAAGGTGGCCGGAGGAGGGGCTTCCCTGATCTGGGAGGGTCTCTATGTCATAGGGGAGACCTACTGAAGTATGATAACTCTCCCGTGGGGATGTGCCTTCTGGAAGAGGCTCATGACCTTTTTGGGGTGGGGGGGGGCTTCATGGCCAGCTCTGCAGGTGCTGGTGGACCAGTCCAAGAAAGCAAACTCCCCTCTGAAAGGCCATGAGAGGACAGTGCAGTATCTGCAACATTTGGGTAAGTCCAACTTTTGAAAGGGAAGTAGGAAAGGATTGTGTTCACATGGACCAGATCTCCCTCCATTTCTGATTCTAGCTAGTCAGTCCCCTCCCTCCCTTGTTCACTCAGTTTTGTTTCCCCCCTACAGTGGAACTATGACACCCCCTCGGTATGCAGCCCGCCTAGTAGGGCCAAGTGACTGGTGCTTGGGACAGAACTATCTACCCTGGAAAGCAAATTTGGGGGCAACCTGCCTCCCAGTTGCACCCGCCTCCCCAGTCCTGTGGACGGGGCAGGCTTCACCTGCTGACAAGTCTATTCCCTTCCAGGCACAGAAAACCTGCATTTGATTTTTTCCTACTCAGTATGGGTGCTGCGAGACTTCCCAGAGGATGGCCTGAAGGTAGGTCATGGGGGTCTTGGATTTATCTCATACCGTGCTTGGTCTTGATTCTACTGAGGACAGTGATGGGTGGAGGGGGAGGAAGGATTCATGCAGTTTCTCTGGTGTTCAGATGAGTAGCCTGGGAAACAGCCGATAGTGTAATATAGTGGAGAACGCCTTGTGCAGACATCTGGAGGCTGGCATCTGCCACCTAGTCTGGCACAGTTGCTACAGGTGCCATCTGGTATACCCTTCCCCCTTCAGAAGTCCACTTGACCCTCCACCATGTATGTGTGTGTGTATGTGGTTGCTTGGCCGCACTGCAGTCAGATGGTTCTGCTATTGGAACTCAGGTTTGTTCCCACAGATATTTACCGAAGACCTCCCGGAGGTGGAATCTCTGCCACGAGACCGAGTGCTAGGCTTCTTAGTGGAGAATTTTAAGGGTCTAGCTATTCCTTATCTGGTAAGATCTTTTTTGGTCTGAACTAAAAACATTTAAATGTGGGAACCAGGACCACATGGGTCAGTTGTCGGGCAATTCAGATTGGGGTTTGTGTCACTTGGGGATTGGTAGAAGTGTAAGGAAGATTATTTCAGTATCTTCTGAAGAAAGAGATCTTGGTAGATCAAGTTGGCAATATTACTTGGGTTGAATACCTTCTAAATCTGGGTAAAGTACAGAAGGATAAAAGAGAATGATGTTCGAGAAAAACATCTGAAAGCCACATTTGTATGGCCATTCAGATTCAGCTGTGACCACCGGGCAACCAGATTGGTTTTAAGTACCAGGATGCAACTATTATTTAACCTTAACTACATGAGCTGATGTGAGAGTTTGGAGGATTATGGGACAACTTAATAAAGGAACTTAGATTGCAAATCTAAGAAGATAATCCCTAATGTTGCTGGGCTGTATTCCAAAATTTCCTGGTGGTTTTAAAAGAGCTGTCGCTTAATTAGGAGATGGTTTGGATGGGACCTGTCAGGCCTTAAAAATGTGAGGGAGACTGGGTGACGGAGATGGGTCACAGCTTACAGGATACCAGGTAGACCTGTGTCTTGCCTCAGGAGCATGTCATTCACGTTTGGGAGGAGACAGGCTCTCGATTCCACAACTGCCTGATCCAGCTGTACTGTGAGAAGGTGCAAGGTCTGATGAAGGAGTATCTCCTATCCTTCCCTGCAGGTACCAGTTCTCCTAGAAAGCCAGGTGACCTGGAACCCAAGGGTGTCTTGTGGCATAGGGAAGCAGGCCTTACTGTTCTCTATGGGCCCTGGTGGGTGGGACTTTCCTCTGAGCAGCCAGGGCAACTAAATGACCCAGCATAGGAGACTCAAGAGCTCTTGTCTGGATCTGGGCATCTCCGTGCATCACCCCTGTGTGAAGGGGAAGGAACAGATTTGTCTGCAAGATGATAGCTGTGCTGAGAATGGGTTTGCATACAAAAGTGTCCAGGTTTTCTTTATGTCTCAAGCTGATGTTTTGGGGTCACATAGAGACCATAAACTAAGAAAAGCCCAGCTGGAACCCACTCTGGAGGCCCTTTCTGATCATTGTGGTGATGTCATCGAACCCCATCCTTTTCATTTTTCTCAATGAGCCCACATTGCTGCCCAGCAGCATCCTTTCATACTGAGCTTGGTTCCCTTTAAGGCAAAACTCCAGTCCCTGCTGGAGAGGAAGAGGGTGAGCTGGGAGAGTACCGACGGAAGCTCCTTATGTTCTTGGAAATTTCTGGCTACTATGATCCAGGCCGGCTCATCTGTGACTTTCCTTTTGATGGTGAGTGTCTGGCTTTTGGCCAGAAGCCACATCAGTGGAAGGTAATGGGAAAAAACACATGTTTGAGGCCAGTTGTTTCTGTCCCATCTGAAGACTCACTTTTTTTTACCATAACTGAGAGGAGTCTCCTTGGGTATGAACCACCTGGCAATCGGTGGCATCAGTACGTGTCTTGGCCACGTCCATTATTTAGCAATATTTGTGATCTGGCATAATTTGTCTGAAAAAGACACACGTTTCTCTGATATATAAGCTCTGGGAGAGCAAAGCCCAGTGTTTACTTTCCTTAGCTGGAGTGCTTGGCACATTGCAGGCGCTTATTATGCATTTGGTTGTTGGATGAGAGTTCTTACCCAAATTAGAAGCAATCACAAACAAGATGGTATAAAGTACCTCCTAAAAAATAGCTCCCTCTGCCCTCTTTTAAATTTTAGCAATTTTCTCCTTGAAAAAATCCCAAGTAATACAAATAGTTTCAACCACTTACCTAACAGCCTAGCCCCTGGCCTGTGCTTGCACAGTGGTGGTGATGATTACTCACACCCCTTCCTCCTCCCAGGCCTCTTAGAAGAGCGTGCACTGCTGCTGGGGCGCATGGGAAAGCATGAGCAAGCGCTCTTCATCTACGTGCACATCCTGAACGACACAAAGATGGCTGAGGAGTACGTTGACCCTGCCACCGCACCACCCAAGGACTCCGACGGCAGGCTCCACAGAGAGAGGAGAGGCGGGGAGACAGAGGCAGAAAGCCACCTCCCCTCTGCTCTGCCTCCCATCCTGGCCCCTGAGTGGTGCCATCATGAGGCTGCTCCCGCGGGGAGAATTGATGACCTCTCTTTAGACGTGGCTGCTCTGGCCTAGTCTCACCACTTTCTCCCTTGCAGGTACTGCCACAAGCATTACGACCAAAACAGAGATGGCAACAAAGATGTAAGTAGTGACACTGGCCCCAGGGAGCACATGCGCTCTTCACTGTCCCTCGTAGCACACCTCATGCCCTTGGGTTTGGCCACAGGTGACACTGGTGGGAGTAGCTGAGATCATGGTTTGCATGTGTGTATTGAGGAAGAAGGCAAGGTGACCATACATCTTGGTTTCCTTGGGATAGCTCTGGCTTATTGTCATGCATGCGATTATCAGTAGCATCCCTGCCCTTTTACTTTCAAAAGAATCCCAGGTTGTATAATAAATTATATGGTCAGCCTATTGAGGAGTATCTGATGGATGCAGTCAGGTGCACTTATATACTCGGTCTAGAATGCATGTGGATTCATCAGTGTCTGGAGACATTTTTGATTGTTATGTCTGGGGATACAGGGACAACTGGAATCTAGGTGGCAGAGGCCAGAGTTGCTGCTAAACAGTGCACAGGATAGCCTCAACAAAGAATTATCCAGCCCGGAATGTTGGGTGCTGAGGTTGAGAAACCCCGTGTTACTGGTACCAGTAGGAAAGATGGCGTCTCAGCTTGGGGTTAATCCTCACCTGCCAAAATTGGTAGGGTCACAGCCTCAAGGCCAGATTCCTAGGAGAGATCTTTTTTTTTTTTTTTTTTTTAAAGATTTTATTTATTTATTCATGAGAAACACCGAGAGAGAGAGAGAGGTAGAGATACAGGCAGAGGGAGAAGCAGGCTCCATGCAGGGAGCCCGATACAGGACTCAATCCCGGGACTCCAGGATCACGCCCCAAGCAGAAGGCAGGCGCCAAACCGCTGAGCCACCCGGGGATCCCCTAGGAAAGATCTTTTTGTGTCATTTTGCAGTGTTGGCATTTTGTCAGCAGCAAAACGTATAATTAACATAAGGCATTTGATTTTTTTTTCCTCAGGAAAAACAGTTCTTAATTCTTACCATCTTCAGTTGACTGGCTTTACCAAAATCTTTTAAAATGTGAAAAACGGAGCAGCCCAGGTCTTATAACCCCTCTTATTTTTAGGTGTGGTCATGCTGGCGGGTCCTGGGAGGCTTGCTGCCAGCCTGACCTATGTGACTTGTATGAGACAGGTGTATCTGTCCCTGCTCCGGATGTACCTGTCGCCCCCTAGTGTTCATTGCCTGGGACCCATCAAACTGGAACTGCTGGAGCCACAGGCCAACCTCCAGGCCGCCCTGCAGGTCCTCGAGCTGCACCACAGCAAGCTGGACACCACTAAGGTCAGGAGTTCTGTGCAGATGGGAGGGACTTGGGGGCACTCTGAATGAGAGGAGTGAGAGGAGGGCACTGAGAAAGGTACTGGGGTTTGAGAGCTGTGTGACTTGAGACTTTTCCTCAGGTTCACTCCTGTTATGGCTCATCCTGTTCCCATCTCTGTTCCTGTCCCTAGGCCATCAACCTTCTACCAGCAAACACTCAGATTAATGACATACGTATCTTTCTGGAAAAGGTCTTGGAAGAAAATGCACAAAAAAAACGGTTCAATCAAGTGCTCAAGAACCTCCTCCATGCAGAATTTCTGAGGGTAAGAACCTTCCAGACTCTAGGGTGAGGTTGTACCTTTTAGCATGAGACACACATTACCTATAGACAAAAGCAGAGCTTTATATTCCTTTAGCACTATAGCTCAAACTGACACAGTAACCAACTTGACATTTAGTTGCAGGGGTTTCAGTGAGAGGCATCTGTGGGGGCTGAAGGATGAGACTGTGCCAGCCTGTGCCTTCTGTGTGCTGGACTATGGGGCTTCTGTCCCAGTCACTCTCCTCTTCTAGGTCCAGGAAGAGCGGATTTTACACCAGCAGGTGAAGTGCATCATCACAGAGGAGAAGGTGTGTATGGTGTGTAAGAAGAAGATTGGGAACAGGTGAGCCTTTTCTCCACAACTGTGCAGCCTCAGCTCTGATATGGGTCCTGCTCAGGATGGATTTCTGCCCTTTAACTAAAGGGAAAGCATGGCTGCTGATTATCTTGGCCATGGTTACTTCTTGAGCTTCCAAAGAGCAATCCATGTTGTCTGTTTGAGTTAGCTTTGAGGATTTAAAGACTTGAAATGTATGGCATGTACTCTTGACTTCTTGCCTGAAAAGCCCTTCCCTTCTGGCAGCTAGATGCTGTGATGTAGCCAGTGGGTGTGTGTGAGTTGTATGTGGGCAGAAAGTTCTTATCATTTAGGGTGTGCCTGTGAAGGAAGAAAAAGATCTTTCCATCTGCTGCTTCATGACTTGAGTAAAATCCTAAGCCAGTGTCATTTTGTTAAAGCATATACTCTAGTCTGTCCCCTTTCCTGAGAAGCAAGGGTGCTTTGTCCTTTTTCTTATGTGGGTGGAAGAATCTTTGTCTTTAGAAAGACCTAACTTGCTGTCCATTGTTAGAATTAGCCTAAAACTTACTCTGATGGGTATTGTCAGCTCTCCCTAGACTGGTGCTGAGTCAGGCTGGTAGCCTGTTCCATCTGCCCTGGATTTCACATTGATGACTTAATAAGAAGTATTCTCATATTCAAACAGTCTTCAAACTGCATGAGCTCACCCTCTGTTTGATGATTTGGCAGAGATGGTTGCTATGTAAATCCAGAAGACGCTGAGGATGGGTCCTTTCTTGTGGTTAGGGTGGGTTGCTTCTGGGATGACACCTGGGTGAAACACCTTTTCTAGGAAGTGGTCTTCTTTTAGAAGTTGTTCTCCCCCCTGAGCAGTCTTTCTTCCCTACAGTGCATTTGCAAGATACCCCAATGGAGTGGTCGTGCACTACTTCTGTTCCAAAGAGGTAAACCCAGCCGACACCTGAGCCCAGCATGCCAAGGATTCTTCAGATGGACAGTTCAGCTATCCCAGAGAGGAGAAGGAGCACCGGCCTTAGGATTGGGGGGCTGGCTACATCCACCACCAGGTGTCTCCCCATTTGGACACAACTGGCTACCTTGAGCCCTGGAATATCTCTGAATTTATCAGACTTATGGTCTGTGTTACCAGCTTTTTGATAGAAAAAGAAGATATTAGCTATACCTTATATACCATTATGTTGCAGGCAGTTTCAGAGAATTTACTACCCGCTTTGACGGAAAGAGGTGGGGAAGGGCATCCTCCTGCCTTTGCACACCAATCACCTGAACAAGGAAAGTGTCTCAAGTGTCCGTACCCCCGAGATTGTTTATGCAGAGTTTTCTATTAAGACACGTGCAGGACTTGACGTGGAACCCTCTGCATGGTGGCCTGGAGTCTGGGAGGAGAGCAGTCCTAGGGCTCCCCTCGCTTCACTGGCTGGCCCTGGCTCTCAGGTGACAGAAATCATTTCTCCATAGTCACAACCCCACACCTCCCTCTCGCCCCCCCACCCTCATCCCCTTGGGTCTGCCCACTTATCTCTTCCTGTTTCAGTCTCCATTTCGTCTTTGCTATTGATTGTCTTCCTTTATCTCCCTTCACTGTTCCCCCACACACACACTTTGTCTCCCATTTTTCCCATGCAGGGAATAAGTGATATAAACAAGATAAAATGAGAAGCAAGAGGACATCTCAGTTTTCAGCATACACTGATTTGATCATTGATTGTCAGGTATGCTGTAAATAGGTCCTCCTTGGATAAGAGCTGTATGCCTGGAAGCTTAGGGGAGCACTGTCCTCCATCCCCCCTGGAGCCGTATGTGACAGTGGCTCTAAGGATGGCCTGCACTAGGTATAAGACCTCTTAGGCAGACACCTGCAGCGGTGCCCGCTCCTAGGCTGCTGCTTGAGTGTCTGTGAGCCAAGTGCTTCATACTTTGGCGCCTTTCTCTTTGCAGCCAGTGTGGTCCGCTTACCTCCCAGTTCAGCCTGGCAGTCCTTCTCCAGCTTTGTTCTGCTGGGGTTGGAGGACTGCACTGGCATGTCACAGGTAGGTGGATCTCTGCTACACACAAGACCGATCAGATGGGGAACTGACAGGGATGTGAGGTCAGGCATGTTTGTGAGGTGCCCAGGGACAGCTGAGAGCACTGCGGGAGGTGGGAGCAGCAGCAGCACATGGGTTTATGAAGGAACTCACTGCGAGATCCCTGGAGTAGGAGGCAGGGAGACCCCCCTCCTCCCAACAGGGCACTGAAGGCCCACAGGAGGAGTGGCTAGTACTGCAGACCGAGGACCTACAGGCAGAGCAGCCCTGCATCCTGTCTTCCCTGTGATTTGCAGACACAGCCTTGATGCTGCTGTGTTTTTAAGGTGGGAAGGGTGGGCGATGGCGCCCAGCCCTGACAGTGTTTTAGTAGCCTGTCCTTGACATGCTGTGGTTCTTTTTAAACCGATGCTCTGTGCCATGTTGGGCCTGTGTTGTAGGCCAGCTGGCCGGTGTTGTAGACTAGGCTCCTCCCTGGCACACTGCCTCGGAGGGTCTGAAGGTACAGAGTATGTGCCCTCAGCATCACACATGCAGATAGGGGCTCTGCTCAGGTTTGGGAGGCAAAGTGGTGCTTCTGAAGAGCCACATCCTAACTGGCACGAGAAGCATTGCTACCCTTGGACCTGTTTGCACAAGCTCAAAGAAGCTTCCCATGCGAGCAGCAGTCAAGTCATCAAGCCAGCCCTCTGTGCAGCAGAAACCCGCCCTGCGACTCAAACCCCGTCTTCCTGGCTTGCTGTGTTTGTATCTTCCATTCCCACAACCTGTGTGGCACATGTGTTTGAAGCAATAAAGAATGTGTATTTTCTTTCTGGAATACATAAACCGCGCAGTTTTCCCAAACTCCATTCTTCCTTCCCTGGACTCTCTTTGCCCTCTGTGGAGGTACGGAGAAGGCTAGAGACTGGAAAGCTCTGTAATGACTTATGAGGATCTCTTATAATAAACATCATAAAGTAAGGAGCCAGCCAATTTGCATCTCTTTTTCCTCCCTTCCTGTGAAGTTTGATGGAAATAACAATGAGGAGATAATGATTTAGCTAAGAATTGAGAAGAATAAGCCAATTAATGACAAAAAAAAAAGTCAGTATGACACCTCTGTCATGTAAGTCTCCATCTGTGCCATAGAGCACAGCTACTGTGGCTGGTGGCTAATGGTTTGACGGTGCAGGTACAGAACATTTCCAGCATCACCAAGTTCTGTTGAACATATTGGAACTCCAGCTAATCCCAACTATTTCCCCCTGCACTTCACATATTAGGGCCTCATGCCTCTTCCTGCAACTCCTAATGACTAGGAGAATCATGAAAGAAAGGTGTGGACTTGGTGGGATTGAAGGGACTAAGGATGTTTGAGAATTGGAGAAAGGATAGTTCATGTTGGCCAGCTCCAAAAAGGCAGTTTGGTCCTTCTGTGTCCCCCTCTTGAGCCATCTGTGGTCATCTTGAGTTTTCTTTACTGAAGCCCAGAGCACGTGACTCCCAGGAGAGAGTATCATCCAGCTCAGAGCATGGGACGTCAGAGCACTCTGTGTGCCCCAGCTAGCTCCCTGCCCTCACCTGGGCCCCTCTGAGGTGGGTTCCTCCACACGCTGTGCATGGGTACCAGCAGCGGTGTGGCACTCTGGCATCTCAGACCCCAGCACGTGTCTTGGCTCTATGCTCCAAATTAAGCAGAAGTAGGCCCTTCCCTTGGAGACAGGCCAGTGGCAATCATCTGCCTTTGTTTTTTGAGAGTTTCTGGTCTAAACTTGCCTACAGGGTTCATTTTGGAGTTGAAACACCTGTTTGTAGATGTTCTTTTTTTCAATCTCCACCTCAAGCCTGGGGGAAGAGTAGAGATGACTAAATCTTGGTTGAAGAACAGAAATTATCTCCCAATAGTTTGCTGCCCCAGAGATCCTTTCTCCTGGAAACTGCCTATCTTGGCCATCCAGATGGCCACAGTCCACAGAAAAGGGGACATGACGTTCATCGGTAGCCTAGCCTAAGGCTTACGATGGTCCAAAGAGAACTCTCCAAAGCCTTATCTCCAGTAGCTTAAGGATAAACAGACCTGCTAAAAGCTGTCCTTATTGATACCACCTGACCATTTCCTTGCCTGTTTACTTAGGGCATCCAAATATATCCACTGATCTAGCAAGGTCTCAGGCAAAAGCCAACAGAGCCCTGAGGCTGTGAATTTCTTCAGGATACAGATGGATCCTCCTCACCTTTGGTTGCAAAGCCCAGTGTTGGTCTGGTACACAGCAGGCTGTCAGTGTTTGAAGAATAAATAAGAGGGGTCACAGATTAGAAACACATTCAAGTCCAGCTAAAACTGAACCAGAGATTTCTAGGCTTCTGCTTAAGAGCCATGGGCCAGGTGGGACTTAAAAGGGCAGATGGTTTTAGAACTTTTTTTCCAGCTGGAGAAAATAAGGCCTGATGTAGCACTTCCTGGCTTCCATCCCCAGGGCCTGCTGTGTCAGCACTGTCTAGAAGGCTTGTTGGAAATGTGGACATGTGGGCTTTACCCACACCCACTAAAGCAAATCATACAAGGGGCTGAGGCTCAGGTATCTTTTCCCAAAGCACCCCAATGATAACCAGGCGTGGGGTTTGGAAACCAGAGTACCAGTTCCTCATCCTCTTGGAGACAGGCTGAAGTGCCTCCTGCCTGAGGGAATTGGATTCCAGTCACTTCCTGGAGCACATCAAACCCCACCTCCAGCCCCAGCAGGCCACCCAACTCTGAGTCCTCCAGAGAGCAGCCAGCTCCACCCTCCCTACCTCGGTTACCTGTCAGACCTGAGCTAGCAACGGGTGTAGCTAGAGGAGAGCAGGGCGGCTCTGGAAAGCAGGCAGGGCTTCCAGCTGAGAACTGCTCTGCCTGGCCATGCACTGGGTGCTCTGGCCAAGGTGGCTGGCAGGCAAGGGGCTGCCCCTCCTGGGGGCAGTGCTGCTGCAGAAGAGAGAGAAGAGGGGACCTCAGTGGAGGCAATGGCGGGTAAAGTACATGGTCTTCCTTGGGAATTGTGTAGGAGCCCTGGGATCACAGTCCCCTGTGAGGACAGAGGCCAGCAGGGAATTGGGTTCTGATCTGGGCCAGGACCAATTTACTCTAGCCAACCTGGCAGAACTTAAAGAGGTTGGCCAAGATCTTGGCTTTTGGAAATAATCCTCACCTCACCTCCATCAGGAATGGAGGGTGAGGTCATGTGATACTTCAGCTGTTGGCTCTGCCCAGAATGTACCAGCCTGGCTGTAGAGTGCTCCAGGGGAAAGGAGGAGGGTGCTTTCTGGGATTTTGAGGGGATAGCCCCACTTCTAGGAGGCTGCAGGCTGCTACCTCTCTTGGACCCAGTTGTTATCTCTTTAACGACTCGTCCAGACCAGTACAAGCTGGGCGACGCCTGGTTTCCCTTCACCTGCTGCCTCCTAGGAGGTGTGGCCTTCATCAGTGAGCTCCTGAGCTAGCAGGTGGGGTCGTCATGACTTTCTCTGCGAATCTTTAATCTCCCTTCTAATCTCTAATGTCCTGGGGACATCACCCTGGCTTGCACTCAGGCTCCCAAGCTATAGCAGCAGCACGAAAAAGTGAGGGGAGCTGCCGGTTGGTGCATCACAAACATAATTAGTAACAGTGGCTACATATATTAAGCACTAATACCAGGCACTCTATACAACTTCTCATTTAAAAATCACCACACCCCTATGGGATTGTAAAACCCCATTTATAGATGGGGAGAATGAAGCACAGGGGAAATCAAGTAATTTGCCCAAGGCCATTCAGCTAGTACATAGTGGAGTTTAGATTTGAACCCAGCCTGAACGATTCCAAGGTCCAGGCTCATCCCCGACATGCTGAAGTCCCAACGGCTGGGCCCTGCCAAGGCCTCTCAGGTCCCAAGCACAGCAACATCTGTGAGCCTGGGCCAGGCTGTTGTTCTGTGAGGGGACGAGGGAAGGAGAACAGGCCCGGCTCTTCCTGGGACTGAGTTCCAGAGTTCTCTGTTTCAGTGGGAAACCCACCCATACTTTGACCTCCAGGTGAAGGTGCTGAGGGCCAGAAATATCCAGGGCACAGATCTGCGTGAGTGACCCCCAATTTCACCCTTCTTCCCCTTCCTTTCCCCGGGGCCTCCCCAGCGAGCAGCAGGGGCTGTCTGGAAATGTGTGTGTGTGTTTGAGTGAGGCAGAGGGGCTAATGCTGACCATGAAGGAGTCCTCCCTGGTGAGGGAGCCCCAGGGCAGGCAGGGAGGGGCTGGAGGGGAGACATGCGCAGACCTTGGACTCCTCCTTGATTGAGTCTAGCAAGTGGAGCAGAGCCAGCCTGGGTGAGCATGTGAGGCCTACTGTTGCCACAAATCAAGGTCTGTTCTCCAGCAGCTTACCACACCAATGCTTGTCACAGAAGGGGACTTTGTTGCCTGAATCATGCCCTTTCAGGGGCAGTGGTCTGTGCAGCCATGTGGTCTTTTCAACTGGCCACTGCAGGATTGAATGGGAGGTGTATGGACTGAATGGGAGGTATAAGTGGTCTAGATGGAGTTAAGGACATTGACTCTCCCCACATCTCCTTGCCCTGCACAAGCAGCCTCCTTTCCCCCACCCCCAGCTCTTTCCCCTCCTGCCCCAGCCTTCCCCAGGCAACCTTTACAGCAATAGGAGCTAAAGGCTGAGGACCCCTCTCCAATCCCACTTGCAGTGTCCAAAGCCGATTGCTATGTGCAACTGTGCCTGCCCACTGCGTCCTCCAGTCCCACCCGGACAAGGATGATAGCCAACTGCAGTGACCCCGAATGGAACGAGACCTTCCACTACCAGATTCATGGTGCTATGAAAGTGAGGGCCAGAAAAGGGCAGTGGAGAGGAGAGGGCTACTTCCTGCCCTCCTGCCCTGCCTCAGGCTCCCACATCTTACCCACCATTCCCAGAATGTTCTGGAGCTCACCCTCTATGATAAGGACATCCTGGATAGTGACCAGCTCTCCCTGTTACTGTTTGACCTGAGGACCCTCAAGCCTGGCCAACCCCACAGACATACCTTCCAACTCAAGCACCAGGTGAGCCACCCTACCTGTGGCAGCAATGAACTGAACTCAAGGAAAGGTCTGGCACAGGGCACTGAGGTGAGGGCTCCTGGGCAGCACAGGCCAGGCCTCCAATACAGACCCTCCTCTATCCTACACTACTGACCCTCCAAAGATTTCCCTCAATATTTCTTCCCTGAGTGCCAAAATGTGAGCTGAGGGCAGAGTGCTTTGTCTGTCTTGGTCACTGCTGAACCCTCCGTGTCTGCCCAGCAGACAGTCTTGAATGCATGAAGCTCCTCATGAAGATGATACTACCTACCCCTCCTGTGCCCAAGGAAGCCCCAACAACAGTCACCTCTTCTAGTCCCTGTTGCTGAGCCGGGTAGGGGGCAGGGACAATCTCTGATGCTTTCAGAGCTCTTTGAAAATGAATGATTCCTTGCTTCATTCATGTAGGATTCACAAGAGCTGCAGGTGGAATTCATTCTGGAGAATAGGTAAGTCTGGGTGGAGCCTAGCTTTAGTCATATTATTATAGTAACAGTCATCTCAAGGGGAGCTAGATGTCCCATGAGCTCCTCATCTTTTGCAGCCAGGTGCCTGCATCTGAGGTCATCACCAATGGGGTCCTGGTGGTGAGTAGGGAAGGTGGGTTAGGGCTGTCCAGGGCTGGGGAGAAGTACAGACCACAATTGGACACTCAGGCCCTCCTGAGAGGGGAAATGTGCTAGGGAGGCATCTCCAGGGACCAGGGGCAAGAAGCTACCTCAAGTCGGAAGCACCAGATAGGAAGCCCACCTTCCTATCTTGTGCACTGGGGCCCCTGGTTGCTGGGACTGCTGGAGGCACCACTTTCAGAGGCCTTTTCCTCCTTCCCCTTCCAAGGCCTGGGAGGAGGGCTCCCACAGAAGACTCCTACCCACAAGGCACAGGCCCTGGCAAAGTTGTTAGCTGGGCCCTGCCCCAGATAACCCCTCATTCCACCCTGGTCTGTGAACAGTGGGTTCCCACAGGCCTCTGCTTTCCTCAGGCTGCCCCCTGTCTGAGAATCCAGGGCACCCTCGGGGAAGGTGGCGCAGCTCCACATCGAGAGTATGGTGAGTCTGGTCCACGACCTTGGGTCTTGCCTTCTCTCCTGGGGGCTGAGGCCTCAGACATCCAATAAGGTGGGTCTGAGGCAGAAAGTTCTTCAATGTTTCACCACTCACAGCTGACCAAGGATGGGACAGATTGCCTCTGAGAGTAGTGATTTCCTATCCCTGGAAGTGTTCAAGCATGAGGGTTGTAACAGTCCAACTATCGCTCCACAAAAAGCAGCCCTAAATCTCAGTGGCAGACAACAGGAAGCATTTATTTAGCTCACACGTCAGATGGTCAGCTGGCATGTGGTTGATCTAGGCTGGGCTTGGTAGGAGTGAGCTGGCTTCATGCCATGTGGCCCTAATTCACCTTCTATGACCAGGGGACTGATCATGTTCTTAAGGTATCAGCCAGAGGCACAGCAGCAGGCCAAAATGAGCAGGTGGTCTTAAGCCTTTGGTCACATCACAGCCACTAACTGCCATTTTGCTCTCCAAGACAAGTCACAAGGCTGACCCTAAAGTTGGGGGGCAGCAATATAGTTGGCCTTTCTGCAGGAGGAACTGAAGTCACATGGCAACATGTGGAAATTTCAGAAGTGGAAGTGGAAGAACCAGGGCATGTCTGGTTCCAGTTAGGCCACTGATGTAGTGTGTTGCAGAGGGTAGCCGCTCAAGATTAGGGACAGGGGGCAGGGGGTGGGGTGGTGAACGTCCAGATGCAGCAGCAGAGCAGAGGCTGTGGGACAGCTAAGGTCCCCTCTGACGCTGAGAGTCTGAGCCCACAGGATGAGTGAGTCCTCATAATGCCTGGCACTCACTGTGAACCAGGCAACTGTGCTCAGCATTCCATGTGTCTTTTATCTTTAATTCTCATAACAGCCCAATAAAATGCACCTATTATTCTCATAATTTATGAAACCTTGGCTCAAACAAGAAACTTGCTTAAGGCAGTCTGCGGTCCCCTCTGTCTGTCATGCACATTCCTCTCTAGGGTTTTGCCTCCTTCCCAGAAAGCTGCTCAGAGCAATGTGGGCTCACAGGCCTCCCTCTGCCTCCTTCTAGCCTGGCTCTCCCCTGCTTTTCGAAGCCTCTACCCACCCACTTCCTCTCACCTTCTCTGCACACCTTCTGTTCTTGCAAGGTCTTACACTTTGGAAATAAAGGGCAGGACAACTTGCTATCTATTGTCTTCTCCCTGGCCACAAACCTTCCCCAAGGTGATGAGCACAGAGCTTGAATGGAGGCAAGAGATGGGGAACTACCAGTGGAAGACTGGTAATTAATATAACAATGTGTGACAATTATAACATTATAATTATTATAGAATTATATTTTATATAGTTAATATAATCTCAAAATCATCAGCCCCATAAACTCTGAGCAAGGAGCCCTCTTCCTTCCTGCTCTTCCCGTTCCCCAGGCATTGTGTTTCCTAGCCCTCTCCCCGTGTTCCCAAGTCTGACCAGGGCAGGTTAAAGGACCTGAGTGTCCTTCATGATGCCTTTGCTTTGGGTCACAGAGCCAGAGAGTGAGCAGGGTGGTAGGTTGGCATTTCCAAGGGGAAAGACAGGGGTATTGCCATTCAGAGTGCTACCATTACATGCCACACACGCACTCCCATTCTCACCCCCTCACCTGGGCCCTCTGCTCCCAGGCTCTAGGCAGATTTGGCTGACGGTGCCTGGGGCCTACGAGAAACCACAGCTCTTACCCCTGCAACGCCCCAAAGAGGGAGGCCTCCCAGCCACCTTCACCTTTCACATGAACCCAGTGATCAGCTCCAGGCTGGATGTGGAGCTGGAGGAGGAGCTTACAGTCCTGCAGGTGAGTGAGGCCCAAGTCTGAGAAGGTGTGGCTGATAGAATCAGTCCAGCCTAGAGGGGCGTCCCAGGGCCACCACGGAGGCATGTTTTCCTTCACCATGGAAGGTTCGTTGGGTGTGTTTTCTTCTCTGCAGAGCGGCCCAAGTGCTGAACTAGAGACCCAGACCAGCAAGCTGGGCCAGGGGGGTATCCTGCTATCTTCTTTGACCTTAGGCCAGGAGGAACAGTGCTCTGTGGTCCTGGGGGAGGTAAGACTCTCTCTGGGTGCCTGAGGGACCCCTGCCTGCTCTGTGACCACCAAAAGAGGGCTGGGGAGGGGCCTGAAAGGAAAGTCAAGGGACCTGAGAGAGAAGGGGTCATAATCAGCCCAGCCTGGAGTTCAGCCATGGTGTCCATATCTGGGCCAGAGCTACCAAAGCAACAGGGCCTGCAGGTGGGAGGACCCCACTCAAGATACTCAGCCCACAGGACTGGGCTGTTGTCTCTTTCAGGACCAGGAGGTGGTTCTGAATATGAAGGCAGAAATAAGGTGAGGAAGGCTGACTTCAAGAGGAAGGCTCTTGGGCTACCCAGGAAGTGTAGGTGGCCTCTTCTGCCTTCTTGACTAAGCCTGGATGGTGGAGGGCATGTCTGGTTCCAGTGAGGCCATTCTAAGGGGTTCCATGGAATGTGGGTCTACTACTGTGAAAAATGGGCTGGGTCTGAGGCTCTCCTCCGGTGAAGAGTCACCCAGTACCTCACCCCTACCCCACCTGAGGCAGCTCTGGAGACCTTGACCTGCGCCTTGGCTTTGGCCTGTGTGACGGCGAATGGGAGTTTCTGGGCAAGAGGAAGAAGATCGTGTCCAAGGCTTTGCAGCAAGCACTGGGTTTGAGCCAGGCTCCAGACAGCAGCCAGGTATGAAATGGAGGAGTTGGAGCCCAGGGTCACCAGGACCAAGTCCAGCCTCTTTCTTTGAGAGGACTGTGTGGCCAAGTCAGGACAAGAAGCCTTGAGGAAGGGGGAGGAACAGAGGAGGAAGGGGCAGGCCTGTTTGCCAGAGCTGATAGGCAAAATCAGGAGAGTCAGGACCCTGTGTGTAAGGAGGGATGAACAAAGGAGGTGTATTAGTCCCCTTAGGCTGCTGTAACAGAACACCAGCAGCCTAGACCTGCCCCAGACATGAGAGGTGTCCAGTCTGGTTGGCTTAGACAACAAACATTCATTTTCTCACCTGGAGTCTGAAAGTTCAAGAGTAAGATGCCATCAGGGTTGGTTTCTGGTGAGGCTTCTCTTCCTGACTTGTGGACAGCCACCTTCTGGCTGTGCCCCCACATGGCTCCTCCTCTGTCCCTGTAAGAGAGGGTAAGGGGAATGTCTCTCTTCCTCTTCTTACAAGGACACCAATACTGTTAGATAAAGGCCCCAGTGTTATGACCTTCCATAACCTATATAACCGCCTTACCGGCCCTTTCTACAAATGTCATCTCACTGGGACTTCAACATGTGAATTTGCAGGAGCACAGTTCAGTCAGTCACAGTAGACAAAGGGATCTGGAGGTGGAGGGTCCATGGGAGCCTGGGGCGGGAGGGCAGGTGGAAAGGCAGTACCAAGGGAGAGAGCGATGGTAAATCAGGAGCAAGTTGGTGGCTTCCTCCTCGCTGCAGGTGTGCTTGGGAACTGGGGTCAATTCCCGGTGCTGACTGGGTGAGCAAGCTCAGACTGTTCATTTGGTAATGCTTGCCCTCTGCCAGGTCTCCACTCCAGAGGTGGAAGGTAAAGAGGACGTAGACCTGGCTTTTAGGGAGCTCTGTCTCCTCCAACACTCCGAAGGGACTGTGCCCTTGCTGAGCACTGGCCAGGGAGCATTTCTTTCAAGACAGAAGAAAGGAGGGCAGAGAAAGGAACCAAAAGTTGGGGTAGAATGAGCTAAAGCTTCATGGAAAAATTGAAGAGCCAAAAAGCTTCTAGTCTGATCCCAGCAGGCACCTCTGATAACTGAAGAGACATCTGGGCACTTCTCATGTCTGGGGCAGGTCTAGGCTGCTTGGTGGCCTTTGCCACTTTACCCAGTGGTTCCTAACTGGGGGGACGGGGGCATTTTACCCCCAGGCCACCCACCCAGAGGACATTTGTCAATGTCTAAAGACATACTTTATTGTAGGGGCAGGGAAGAGGGCCGCTACTGGCTTCTACTAGGGAAAGTCCTGGAATGCTACTGAACATCCTACAACATACAGAACAGCTCCTCATGACGAAAAATGACCCAGTCCAAAATTATCAATAGTTCCAAGACTGAGAAACCCTGCTTTAATGGTTTTGAGTGAAATCCAGTATGCCTTCCAGTTACACACTTTTCTGGTACAATTGTTAAGAGGCATCTCTGGGATCATATTGCTTCAGTTTCATAACCACCACTTTCCACCCGTGTGACTGAGAGCACATTATCCAACCTTCCTGTGCTTCAGGTTCCTAATCTGTAAAATGGGGATCCCACTGGGGTGCTGTGAGGATTCAGTGAGACAATACATATAAGGCTCTTAGGCCAATGTTTGATATTATAAGCAATAAAACAGAAAGGACAAGGGTGGTCAATGTCGTTATGATCACTTTCTGCTCAGGTGCCTGTGGTAGCTGTGCTGGGTTCGGGAGGTGGAACCCGAGCCATGTCTTCCCTGTATGGCAGCCTGGCAGGGCTGCAGGAACTTGGCCTCCTGGACACTGTGACCTACCTGAGTGGGGTCTCTGGTTCTACCTGGTAAGTGAGGTGGGGACAGGGCCCAGAGTAAAGGAGAGCCCTGAAGGGGCAGGAATGTGAATGGTGCGTTCCCTGAAAGGATGCTGGGTTCCTGCCTCCAAGGGGGTTAGGAGAGGCAGGAAGGCAGTGAGTTCCCAGGCCTCCTTGAGTGGGCGGTGCAGGGCAGTGGGGACAAGGGATGGAGAGGTGGGGCACTCGCAGACCCTTGCATCCCTCTCTCCCCTGCTGTGCTCCCTGCGCCACTGCCCCTAATTCTCTCTCTGCCCAGGTGCATCTCCACACTCTACAAAGACCCAGCCTGGTCCCAGGTGTCCTTGCAGGGCCCCATTGAGCGTGCCCAGGCTCGAGTCTGCAGCAGTAAGATGGGGGCGATGTCCACAGAGCGCCTACAATACTATGTCCAGGAACTGGGGAGTCTGGAAAGCAGTGGCCGCAGTGTTTCCCTCATAGACCTCTGGGGTCTCCTCATTGAATATTTCCTATACCAGGAGGTGAGAGAAGAACAGATAATAAATAAATCTGGCTCCTTTCCACCGCTGCCCCACCAGCATTTACTTCTGCCTTAGTTACTAAGATTTGCAAAACTATCCCTTAGGTCTGAGCTTGCTGAGGACAAGAGGTAAGAACCCAGGGAGGACTGACAGGGCTTCATGTTTCCTGGCTCTGAACCCCTAGGAAGGGAGAGCCTGGTCTGCCATTCTCAGGTCTGTCTGCATTTTAGAATCACCTACACAGCTTTTCAAAAACACTTGGGCCTGGGCCCCAATTCTGCATACTGACTTGGGTTGATCTGGGTTTAGGCCCTAGCACACCTGTGTTTTGAGAGTATTCCAAGTGGTTCAGACCTGCAGCCTAGATGGAATGCCACTCCCGCCCACTGACCAAGCTGCCCTGCAGCTCCTAGAGCTATCGGCCCAGAAGTTGGGAGATGAGAAGAGTCAGAGCTGAGGGAGGTTCTCAGCCCTGGGGACCTGGCCCCCTGGTGTGGTTCTCAGTTGTGGATGTATATCACAAGTAGTTTCTCACAAAAAGAATTCATGTTGTTGAATGATTTATCTTTTTTTTTTAAGATTTTATTTATTTATTCACGAGAGACACAGAGAGAGAAGCAGAGATACAGGCAGAGGGAGAAACAGGCTCCCCGCAGGAAGCCCGATGTGAGACTTGATCCTGGGACTCCGGGATCGCACCCTGAGCTGAAAGCAGACACTCAACCGCTGAGCCACCCAGGCATCCCATTGAATGATTTATCTTTTAAAGAAAGTAAACTGGATTTTCAGTTTTTCCTTTAACAAATGTCCACTGACTCCCTTGGGCTCTAATCTGCTTTCTTCAACAGGAAAGAAGTAAGGAGAGGAGTCCCAGTGTCCCCGGAATTGCACAAAACTCACAGTGGCCTTACCTTTGCTGCTTAAAGGCCCTTAGCTGTCTCTAGAGTACTGGCCTTGGCAGCTGCAGCCTCTGGTGGGCATGCCATCCCCTGCAGGGTATCAGGCCATGGGGCCATCCTCATGGGGTAAGGGGACTCCCCCAAAAGCCAAATACCTCCCTTCATGCCCACTAGGAAAACCCTGCCAGACTGTCTGACCAGCAAGAGGCCATCAGCCAGGGCCAGAACCCTTACCCTATCTATGCCAGCATTAATGTTCGCAACAACATCAACGGGGAAGACTTTGCAGGTGCCTCGGTGTGGATGTGGGGACCTGGGAAACAGGTGGAGGTGGTGGTTGGTGGGAGGGTGTGAGAGGCCAGTGCTAGTAATGTACAGACAGGAGCCTTGGAGCACAATGGGGTTGCTGCCTCCTGCTCTCGGCAAGTCTGATTCCTGCTCAGGCACTCAGGTGTGAGGGGGAACCCTGGTATCTTGGTAGAAAGGCCCTGGTGACATTCCCCTTTACTCTGGTCCCCCAGAGTGGTGTGAGTTCACCCCCCATGAGGTCGGCTTGCCCAAGTATGGTGCTTATGTTCCCACTGAGCTCTTTGGCTCTGAGTTCTTCATGGGGCATCTGCTGCAGCCCCGGCCTGAGCCCCGGATCTGCTACCTGCAAGGTGAGTCTGGGATGGAGGGCTGGGGACAGGGCAGGGGCTGGGCCAGGACCTGAGATGGGCTGGAGTTGTGAGGGCCCAGGACCTTGCCTTTCTCCTTAGGTATGTGGGGCAGTGCCTTTGCAGCCAGCGTGGATGAGATCTTCCTGAAGACTGCTGGCTCAGGCCTCAGCTTCCTAGATGGGCACAGATGGAAAGTAAACATCACAGGTGAGGGTAGACACCCTGACCTCCCCAGACCCTCTTTTCCGGCACCAGTACCATGGCTGAGGCACGAAGGATGAGGGAGGGGGTGGTGAAGGACTTGGCTGTCCCACTGGGTTCAGAGAAGTCCTGAGGAAATGACTTCTAGCTTAGGGTCTCTAGATGCCCAGAAGTCTGCAGAGGCAGTGTGGCTTGGGGCCTGGAGGAAAGCCCATGTCAGAGAAGCCAGTGGGAGTTGTGAGTGCTCTGTGGTAAGGCCTATGGCTTCAGATTCTCTGCTTGGGTTCCAATTATGTCAACTCAGCCCAGGACCATGGGGCATCTCATGCTTATCTGTCCACACACCTCAGGGTTCCTCTTCACACCGCTCCTTACGTGGCCTATGTATGAGCTCCCTGCTGCACAGAATACCTTTATCCACCTTTCTTCTCTGGATAACTTCTGCTCAGCTTTTAAGATTTAGCTCAGACATCATTTTGTCAGAGACCTTCTCTATTCTCCTTCATCCCTCCGGGGATGATCAAGGGTCTTACCACCAAAGTCTCATAGGACTATGTACACACTCCACCACTGTCCTTACCTCAGGGCATCATTATGATTTATGATCTCTTTATGTGGCTCTCCCCCAAGTAGGCCGGGGTCCTATTCACCTTCCATCTCCGTTCAAGCCTAGCATGGTGTCTGGCATGCAGTACTCCTCAGTGGGTATTTGATGGATGAAATTCTATTCAGAAGTTGTATATACAACTTTTTTTCAAGAGGAGAAAATAAATTATCACTTTATAAATATAGTGCCATAGGCAACTTTCAAAATATAGATAAGCTGAAAGAAAAGGTCATTTAAGGGATGCCTAGGTGGCTCAGTGGTTGAGCATCTGCCTTTGACTCAGGTCATGATCCCGGAGTCCTGGGGTCGAATCTCGTGTCAGGCTCCCTAGGGACTTCTCCCTCTGCTTATGTCTCTGCCTCTCTGTCTTTCATGAATAAATAAATAAAATCTTGGAAGGAAGGAAGGAAGGAAGGAAGGAAGGAAGGAAGGAAGGAAGGAAGGAAGGAAGAAATCATTTATTTTTTTTAATTTTTATTTATTTATGATAGAGAGAGAGAGAGAGAGAGAGAGAGAGAGAGAGAGAGGCAGAGACACAGGCAGAGGGAGAAGCAGGCCCCATGCACCGGGAGCCCGACGTGGGACTTAATCCTGGGTCTCCAGGATCATGCCCTGGGCCAAAGGCAGGCACCAAACTGCTGCGCCACCCGGGGATCCCAGAAAGAAATCATTTAAAAGAGGTTCTGAGAAGTAGTGGTCTGAGGCTTGGGAGCCAGGGGGAAAGAGAGATGAATGTGGGGAGGAAATAGAGGGGGTGCCCTGAGTCATAAAGGCCACTGGACAAAGGAAGGCACGACTTCTCACTGTATTTCACCCTCCCACCCCCACTAGATGACTGCCAGAAGCTCCAGCTACATGACCCCACACAGCTGCGAACCAGGCTCTTCACCCCCCAGGGCCCCTTCTCCCAGGCTGTGCTGGACATATTCACCTCCCGCTTTACCTCTGCAGAGAACTTTAATTTCACCAGGGGCCTCTGCCTACACAAAGACTATGTAGCTGGCCAGGAGTTCGTGGCCTGGAAAGGTGGGTGCTGCTCTGGGTGGGGCTCACTGGGGCCAGTGCTGCCTTTTTTCCTGGGGGCTGGGCTGTGGGCTCCTACCACCCAGGGGCTGAGGGGGAAGGACTGGGATGTCTGCCAGAAGGCAGGGCCAGAGGTTGGGGTAGGAGACTCTGCTGCCCTCAGAACAAGGGGAGGAGAGATCTCTACAGAGAGGGGTGTTCTGTTCCCAACGGGAAGAGAAGAGCAAGCATTTGTCCCTGCTGCAGCTACGCACCCTGACGCCTTCCCCAACCAGCTCACTCCCATGAGGGATCGCCTGTGCCTGGTGGATGGGGGCTTTGCCATCAACTCTCCATTCCCCCTGAACCTGCTGCCCCAGAGAGCAGTGGACCTCATTCTGTCCTTTGACTACTCCCTGGAGGCCCCTTTTGAGGTAAGGTGTACAGTGGGGACAAAGTGAGGATCTCTGTTGAGGTGGCCTAGCTGGGGATTTGGGGATGGCGCTTCATGGAGGACCAGGCTTCTAATCTTCAGGCAGGTGCCTTGTGAAGATTTTTAGTGGCACTGGTCTCCCCAACTGGAGGAAGGGGGTTGCTGAGGTTATGGGATGGAGTGGGGGTTAGGAGAAGAGGCCAAAGATGGTCATCAGGAGTCTTCCATCCTGGTGAAGAGAAGGCTTCTGTTCCAGCCCCTGCCTATGTCTGATAGCATTCTTTGCTCCCATCTGGATCTGGATCTGCTGTCCCTTAGTTACTGTAGTAACAACAACAGAGCCATGAGGTCCCCCAAAGAGTGTCTCGAGACAGCTCCCTCAAGTCCTGTGGGGTAGTGGACAGGTTCCACCATCTGGATGAGGGTTCTGGTTGTGCTGCTGGGCCAGCCCTTCTCTCTTATCCTCCTTAACTTCCAGGGTCCAACAAGAACCTGGGATTAGATGATGGATAAAGCCTCTTCCCATGTGACCTTCTGTAATCATTCCATGTCCACTGAAATCAGCCCCTACTCGGAAGCATGGAGGCATCAGAGAAGGGAACCAGTGGGTGGTTATGGGAAGAATCACCATGAGAATGCTGGCAATTGTCATTAATCTGGCTGATAGGGTTTTCCCCATTTTTATTTTATAAATAAAGCAACTGGCTCAGAAAGGTGATGTCACTTGCCTGTAGTCACTCAGCTAGTAGAGGGGCTGTGTGACCGCAGGTGGTAGGATGCAGGGTCAGAAGCTGGCCTCCTTGCCCAGGTCTTACAGATGACAGAGAAGTACTGCCTGGACCGAGGCATCCCCTTCCCAAGGATTGAGGTGCTCCCTGAGGACTTGGAGGAACCTCGTGAGTGCTACCTGTTTGCCAAGGCCGAGGACCCCCGCTCACCCATTGTGCTGCACTTCCCCCTTGTCAACCGTACCTTCCGCACACACCTGGCCCCAGGTAAGGGGAGACCCTGGGCCAGGGTCTGGCTCACACAGCCCAGGGATGGCGGTAGGGTGCTTTTCTGAGAGTGGGCTTCCTGGACAGCATACCAAAGCGTGCCTCCTGGAGGGCCCAAGCTGGCCATTGGTACCCTCTTCTGGGGCCCCAGCATTCACACTGGCCCAGTTCCTCCTGATGGTCGAGAGAGCTAAAATGTGGGTCCAGCCAGATGTCCTAGGGCAAGGGGGAGCTTCTGGGCTGGCTCCTACCCCCAGAGTGCCCCAGCTTAGTCTCTTCTCCACTTCTCATCCACAGGTGTGGAGCGACAAACAGCTGAGGAGATAGCCTGTGGGGACTTTGTCCTGAACGGGTCAGACACTCCCTATGGCATGATGAACTTCACCTATGAGCCTGAGGAGTTTGAGCGGCTGGTGGCTCTGAGTAGATACAATGTTCTGAACAACGCGGAGACCATGAGGCATGCCCTCCGGCTAGCTCTGGAGCAGCAACAGGCTAGGGACAGGGCCAGAGGCCGACCAGGCTGGAGTCGTAGGACTGTGAGAGAGGACTGTGGAGACCGTGGGCTCCAGACCAGGGCTTGAGAGAGGAGGAATGATAGATGCTGTGGGGCTCCTGCTTCCCACATTACAGAGACCTGCGTTAGGTCCTCCACTCCCCAGAAAGTTCCTGCAGAATGGCAGCTTGGCTTTGGGGCTGGACCCTTCTCCTTTGTGTTTCTGGGAGATGATGGGGCAGCAGGCCTCTCTAGGGCTCCTGGGGATGGGGGCCAGAGGTGACAGTGCTCATTTTACATTGGAGTGTAGAGGGTATCAGAGGACAATCTAGCCCCAGGGCCTGCCCCAAACCCAGAAGGATCTTAGAAGGCCCAGATCTTCAAACCCTCACCAGACGGAGAGCTGTGAGAACTGAGGGACAGGTTCCTCTCCTTAAACTGAGACCAAAAGCAAAGATTCATCCATCTAATCCACACTTTTGTGGCTAGGATCCCAGATGCAGTGCTCAATGCTATCAGAATAAAGGGGGATCTTGGGGGTTCCCAGTTTGGATCACTACCTTCATCCTTCAGCCTGCTGACTCTCATTGGCCTCTGGCCTCCTCTGTCTCCCTCACTGCTCACCACTCTTCTCTGCTTAGCCTCCTGAAGGCTGTGGGATGGTACTCTCATCCTGGCAGAGCTCCAGTTGATGGGTGTGCTCCTGTCTGCCTATTACTAATGCATCACTTTTTAAACTCAGGCCACACTCTCGTCATGTGTACAGCTGCCATCTCTTGCAAATAGCCTTGCCATTCCCAGAAGCTCAATGGGTGTGTCTAGAAGGTGTATCTGTTTATCAGGGAGCATAGTAAATGTGTGCCTGCAAGTGTGTGCATGTTCCTAGTGAGGGTGGGGCCTGTCTGTTGGCAGGGATGGGCAGTGGTAGAGGGTACCTGGCTGGCAACCCAGAGGCCTGGGTTCCTGGCTCTTTCACAGATACATGCTAAGATCTGGACAACCTGGCCCTCTCTCTCCCTGGTTTTCATCTCCCCTGACCAGCTGAGACCCTCTGAATAGCTGGAGCCTCTCCAGCATGGGCAGATTTTAAGTCTGTGGAGAGGAGATCCACCCTGACTGGGAAGGAGATCCACCCTGACTGGGTGTCATCCAGGAGCCCTCAAGCCCTAGGCCTCCATAGCTGCTTCATCCCACCCCATACGGAGCTGTCTGGGTCCCTTCAGTGGCCCGGGTGCCATCCTCTCTTGAACACTTGCTTCTACTACCGTCTCCTCCAGAGTGCTCTCCTGGGCTGCAGCTTTCCCCCTCCATCCTGTCTCGGATCAAAGCCACAATGGCTCTTCCAGTCAGGGATTCCTTTAGAGGAAATCTCACTTGTCCCAACTCTGAGAAGAAAACCCTCATTCTAGCTCCCAACTGGAAGAAGGTCCTAGCTTGTGCCCTCAGCCTGGCCTGGCCTGGGACCCCCAGGCCTCCAGTTGGATGAGAGCAGAGAGGACTGAAGGATCCAGGGCCCAGAAGGGCCAGTGATTTTGACTGGCATGGGGTGGGAGAGAGTTTGGTTCTCTCCAGCCTCCTCACCATTGCTATCCATCATAGACCATCATCCCTGTCTTGGCTCAGCAATGAGAGGTTTCCCTTGGCGTAGCCCCAGGCTGGCTCCTGAGCTTCTGCTATGGTCACTGTCATCATCACCCCTGCTGTGATGATGTCATCAGTAACTTATTAAGACCTCCACAGAGTTCAAAACTTAGAACTTTGTAGAGTTCTAAGAACTTGGAACTCAGAGAGTTCCGAGTTCTTAGATCTTTGTGGAGCTCAAAACTTAGAATCTTCAGTCATTCTGTCTTTAATGCCTCAAATAGCCATAGGGTGTCTCTGGCTTCCTGAGGGTAGAAATTTCTGTCTGTTTTGTTCGCTGCTGTATCTTCAGTGTTTAGAGCAATGGCTAGCAGATAGTAGATGCTCAGTAAAAATTTGGCAAATAAATGAATGGGATCCTACATTCTAGAAAAGTGGATCATTACCCACCAGCCATGAAAAGATGTGCAACACTGTACTCCAGTGGTTCTTAATCCATTTGCTCTTTTTTTTAATAAATTAATTTTTATTGGTGTTCGATTTTCATTTGCTCTTTTTAAAAAAGCTGATAAAAGCCATGGACCCTCTCCCAAGAAAAATGCATGTACATATGCAAAATTGCATACAACAAGGTTTCTGTTTTACTATGTGATCACCACCCCAGGGGGTAGGGGACTGGTGTTTGCCCTCCCAGGCCAGCAAGTTTTATGCAGGAAGCAAACACCTGGGCTTGTGCAGAGCTGGGAGTCACCTTGATTCATACAGAAGTGTAGGAAATGCCACCTTGGCTCAGATCAGGTTCGGGAAGATGTAATGAGACAAGGGTGGGAGGGCTAGGATAGGGACGCTGGTCCAATTCTCTAGCCAAGAAATTGGTCAGGGGTGAGCTCAGTCAGGGCATGAGGAACCATCACCAGGATTGAATCTGGGAGCCAACCAGAGTGAGGAGTGGGGGTCAAAGATGACCTGGCCAGTTTGGCTCCTGCTCCTAGGTCAGGAGGGATCTAAGCCTATTTCTACTGTATTTCTGCCCCATTTATAACCCTGGCCCAAGATGGCCAGAAAGATGTTTCAAGGTTCCAAGGGTGACCAGGCTGAAGGGATTTGACCACAATAACACAGCTACAGGCTTGATTCATTCTGAGGCTGGGCAGAAACACAGGAGCAGGGATGTCATTCCTTAACTTGTTAGACCCCTTCATCAGGTAAAGGAAGAAAACGATGGCCACCAAGCCTGCATGTATGATTGCACAGGTTGTATACTATACAATTCCAGGGGATGCCATTCACAGGAAGTGACAACGTGAACTTTCCCGGTGCAGTTGTACCACATGGCAGCCCTGGGGTCACGGTCTTAGCTCAAGGTGCATGAGAACAGACACATTCAAATATTAGGTCTCCTGGCTTCTTCAGATATATCTCTGGGCATTCACAAAAGTCTCCTGCAGAAAAAAGAAAGAGGTGCAGGGCAGATGTGGGGTTGGGGGAAGGGAAAAAAGGAAGGAAAGGAGAAGGAAGCAAAAGAGAAAGAAGAAAGAAGCATTTTCTTCTTTCGTTGGCTGGCACAGCACTAGGAGGGGGGCCTCCCGTATTGGCAGGTGGCTGTTGGCAGAGGTGCCCCCCACCTTCTCCAGAGCTCAGTCCCTGCAGCTGATTTCCTCATTGCTACTCCATTCTTTTGTTGAGAGTTTAAATGAAAGCCCCCTCATTTCAGATGGAGTCATTCTTGGAAAGGAGAAAAGGAGGATTACCTGCATTGCTCTGCATGCACCTATTTTCCCCTCAGTGCCCACTCTATGGCAATTGAAAAGCCACAGGAACACAAAACAGGGCAGGGAGTCCAGGACTTCCCCATGCAAGAGAGAGGAGTCTACACTGGGGCTGTCCAGCAAATCAGGGAGGCTGGTCACCAGAGTTCAGGGGTGGAGATTAAATTTTTTCTATTAGGACAAGTGAGGCACAAGAAATATTAAGCAAGTAAGAGTCCACACATATTTTTTAATATTTTATTTATTTATTTGACAGAGCCAGAGAGCACAAGCATGGGGAATGGCAGAGGGAGAGGGAGAAGCAGACTCCCCACTGAGCCCGAAATCCAATGCAGTGCTCCATCCCAGGACCCTGGGATCATGGACTAAGCCGAAGGCAGATGCTCAACCAACTGAACCACACAGGAGCCCTGAACTCACACATATTAAAAAACTTTTACTTTATAGGGGCACCCGGTACCACCTAAGCCTCCTGTTTCTTGCTTTCTGATTCCATTCTCTTTCTTCCACTATCCCCCTCTGCTAGTATGAAAGTTCTATTTTCTATGTTTAGAATGCTAATGATTTCCCTTGTCAGTTTTATTGAAGTGTAATTTATCAATAATATAGTGCACCTCTTCTAAGTATATAGTAAATGTATAAGATTAAGTGTACAGTTCGGAGCACCTGGATGCCTCAGGCAGTTGGGTGGCTGACTCTTGATTTCGGCTTTGGGTCATGATCTCAGGGTTGTGAGATGGAACTCTGTCAGGCTCCACACTTAGCAGGAGGTCTGCTTGAGATTCTCTCCCTCTCCTCTCTCCCTCCTCCTCTCCACCCCCTTGCATGCATGCTCTCTCTCTCAAATCTTTTTTTTTAAAAAGATTAAGTGTACAGTTCAATGACTTTTAGCAAATTTACATACACATGTAACCATCACTATAATTAAGATATGGAGCATTTCCATGACCCCAAAATGTTCTCTTGAGTTTCATCCTAATCAATCTCCAACCCTTGGTCCCAGTGCCTACTGATATGCTTTTTGTCATTATAGACCAGCTGTGTCCTTTCCAGAGTTTTATATAAATGGAATTATAAAGTGTGTAGTCTTTGGGGTCTGGCTTCTTCCACTCAACATAGCGCTTTTGAGATGCACCAATGCCGTTGTACATACTAGTAGTAGTTCATTTATTTTTATTACTAAGTAGGAATTTTGTGGATATACCACAGATTGTTTATCCATTCACTTGCTGATGGAAATTTGGATTATTTCCAATTTGGGGCTCTTACTAAGCTTTTAAGCTTAAACTTTTATTTTTTAAAAGCTCTTTTAAAAAACCAGTCTCCATTTTCTCTCCCCAAATAGGACAAGAACCTGAACATGCTAACACATTTTCTACATTTCTGTCCTACATCTGGCTCCCCACCAACCAAACCTTCCACAAATCACCTTGGAGCTCTTGCCTGAATTTTATTTCCAGTGTTTTAAAAACCTCAAAATAGGGATCCCTGGGTGGCGCAGTGGTTTGGCGCCTGCCTTTGGCCCAGGGCGCGATCCTGGAGACCCAGGATCGAATCCCACGTCGGGCTCCCGGTGCATGGAGCCTGCTTCTCCCTCTGCCTATGTCTCTGCGCCTCTCTCTCTCTCTGTGACTCTCATAAATAAATAAAAATTAAAAAAAAAAAACCTCAAAATAGTTGGGGCGCCTGGACAGCTCTGTGGATTAAGCATCTGGCTCTTGGTTTCAGCTCAGGTCATGATCTCAGGGTCCTCCAGGACTGAGTCCTGAATTGGGCTCTGCACTCAGTGGGGAGTCTGCTTCTTCCTCTTCCCCTAACCTCTGCCCCCCACTTGGGTACTTTCTCTCCCTCTCAAATAAAGAAATAAATCTTAAAAAACACTTCAAAATAAAAATATTTATTTCAACTTTACAATATATTTTATTGACTTAATCACTTATTGCTTCTTATAACTCCTTCCTTTTGGGTTTATTTTTATTTCTGTTGATTTCAAAACTGAATAGGTATTTAATGGAGGGTGTATAGGTAGTAAACTTTCTGAGTTCTTATAAATCTGGAATTATCTTTTCTTGCCCTGACTTATGAATAATAGTCTGGATGGATATAAAACTTTTGACTCAAACTTAGATTTACTCATATTTTAATGCTTTCTTGATTTGATATCACTGATGGGCAATCTGATGTCAGTCTAATTCTCACTCCACTGTAGGTAATTTGTCTTTAACTTTTAGGGCTTCCTCTTTGACTTTCAAAACCATCTGTATGATTTTTCTGACCTTAAAAAAATACCAGTGAATCTTTCAATTCCTGGCTTCACATCTTTTTGAAGCTCTAAGAAATTGTCTACCAATTTTATCAAAAACACTACTCTTCTTCATTCTCTCTTTCTGGAATTCCTTTCAAACTCAAACTGATTTGAGTCTCTATATCCTTCAACTTTTACATATCCTGTCTTTTCATTTGTGCTGTGTTTTGGGGAGATTTTCTTTGCATGCTTCTCAATTGAGAATACAATGTTCCTCTGTATCCAATCTGCTCCTTATCCATCTGTTGGGGATTTTTGTTTAACTTTCGACTATCACATTTTTCCATTTAAATTCTCTAATAGGATCTTCAAAACTACCTGTTTTCACTGTATTGATGTGCTCCTTTAACTCAGATGGTGTTAACATTTCAATTTTTAAACATTTTCCTGAATGTTCTGTGACCTTTTTCCTTGAGGTAAGTTCTTTGTTGCCCCTCCTTCATAGACTTCGCCTGGGTTATATGTTTGGTAATTCTTGGGTGTAATCTCATCTCTGAGAGGGTTCTATACACGCTCAGGGCTGTGATGGCTCCTGCTCATCATTTGCTGTGCAATTGGCAATGGTGGCCTCCAGGTGGCAGTTTGGGACTAGGAGAGGAGTGGGATGGAGGGCGGGGAGCCCTGCTGCAGCCCCTGGGGGCCCGGCAGCCAAGGCAAGCATGGTGCCCCATACTGCTAAGGCTCTGATTTGCCCTCTTTTTAGGGTTTCTGATTCTTAAACAGCTACCTTTCTTGTTTTGAATCATGGCTTCTGAATGTATTAATCTGTTTATATCTTTTCCATTGTTAATCTTTTTTTTTAAGATTTTATTTATTTATTTGACAGAAAGAGAAGAAGAGAAAGGGCACAAGCAGGCACACATAGCACAGGCACAAGCAGGCACAAGCAGGGGAGCAGCAGGTAGAGGGAGAGGGAAAAGCAGACTCCCCGCAGAGCCGGGAACCCAATGTGGGGCTTGATCCCAGGACTCCAGGATCATGACCTGAGCCCAAGGCAGGTGTCCCTTTTCCACTGTTAATCTGATGGATTTGGTGCTGGTGGTAAGTAAAATATTACCAAGGAGAATTTCCAATTTTACTTTCCAACACTAAAAAAAAAAATAATGATTTTTAATTACACAGTAAATTTTATGAATTTGTCTTTTTTTTAAGATTTTATTTTTTAAATTTATTCATGAGAGACAGAGACAGAGAGAGAGAGAGAGAGAGAGAGAGAGAGAGGCAGAGACATAGGTAGAGAGAGAAGCAGGCTCCATGCAGGGAGCCCAATATGGGACTTGATCCTGGGACTCCAGGATCACACCCTGGGCCAAAGGCAAGCGCTAAACCACTGAGCCACCCAGGCGTCCCCATGAATTTATCTTTTAAAGAAACAATTTAAGTTAAATTAACTGTTGCATATCT